AGGATGGGGAGGGTGAGGGTGAGGGTGAGGATGAAGTTGTGGGTGAGGTTGAGGGTGAGAGTGAGAATGAGGCTCTGCCTCTGCCCCTGGCTCGGGCCTCGACTTGCCTTACCTTATGAGAAGAGATACCCATCGCCATCGGGGAAGTCTTGGATCGAGGAGATGCAGCTGGAGATTGAGCGCGGGTGCTTTGGCTGCGGGACCCTGAGAAGTCCCCCCCGTTTCTCGGAGCTGGGTGGCCTCGTCGTCCGGTGCCGGGTCCCTGCTGGCCTCCTCTCCCCCGTCCATGGTGCGGTCGGGATCTGTGGATGTCAGTCAGGGGAGGACCAGCAGCCCGCTCGCGTGTGGTGAGGTGATATCCGGGAAACTCGGGCTGGCCCGACCTCGTTCCTGGTTGATGGTGAAGCGGCGGGTCGCGGTGGTTATGGGCCGCTCTCGCCCATTATTCGATGTCTGGATGTCTGGACGTCTGGATGTCTGGATCGATGGATTTGGATTTATCGATTGCTCGATTGCTCGATTGGTCGAGACGCGTGGGTGTATTCCACGAAAGCGCCTTGGATCAAAAGACGAAAAAGAAAGAAAGAAAAACGCGGTCCGGGTCAATGTCAAAATCAATGTCAAGCTCGATATCCAGCTCAAGGCCAAACGTCAACACGATCGAGGTCCCCACGGCGGCTCACCCACCCACGGCCATCCAGGCGGTACTTGTACAAGTGCCCAGGCCCGTGGTGCGCAGACGGCATTCCCAGCCAAGGCCCGGGCCCCACCCGCCTGCAGATCGGGCGCGGGTCCATCCGCATCTGACTCCCCATCAGCAGCAGGGCGGAAGATCCCCCGTCTCCCATTCGCCCGCGTGTCCCAGGAGCTAATCCACGACGGGAGACCGGTAGCGAAAGATGGCAACGGCGGCGCTGGCAGCGGTGGCAGCGGCGGCGGTGACAGCGGCGGCGGGCGGGGTCCCGCCAGAACCTGTCTGGACGTCTTAGCGAGTGCGAAGAAGGAGGAAGAAACGGGACCTGGACCTGGACCTGCATGAGGTCACGCTCCTGACTACAGAGGAGAGATATCGTACCGAGTTGTAGTTGTACCGGTAGAGTAGAGATACTGTAGCTACCTCGCTACCTCGCTACCTCGCTACGTATATCTCTCCGCCGCACATGTGGCCGACCGCTGGATACGCAGACAAGCCCTGACAGCGGCCATTCCTGCCGTACACCACCACACAGCAGCCGTCTCGTACAACACCCGTCTCGTCAGTACAACATCGGGGACGAAAGTAAGTCAGACTGCTAAGTCAGCCTGCCTTTTCGCCTTTTCGTTTCCCCGCCCGTGCACACGCTCCGTACTGTACGTACTACTGTACTGCACTCACTGTACGGTAGGTACGGTACCCGTCTCGCATTCGCTTCCTTGGCCTTCGACGAGAACGGGGCCGCCAACTCGGGCGCCCAATCAACTTGCTCGCGCGATCAGAGAGACGTACCAGCTAAATCAAGGTTCCGATCCGCAGAAGGCTTGAACCACCCGCCTGTCGCCGTGTCGCAGATGCACACAGCCCCGCAGTCGTGCATTGCCGGCCGTCGTGAAAGTCTACGGTACATACGTAGTACTTAGTGCGTAGTACATACGGTAGCCAGAGCCTCGACCTACCCCCGCCATCGTGCATAAAGCAAGGCAGGCGTCTTGCTCGCTCCGTCTTGATAACGAGTTGATGCTGTCCTGCGAATTCTAGTGCTCCCGAGATCAGTCCGATTCTCCGTAATCGTCGTTGACCTGGAATTGAAGCTTGAGAAAAGTCCCACCGGGCGCAGTAGTTCTTTTTCTCGATATATATATATATATATATACATATCTAATGATCGACGGGGCGGAGAGAGAGTATAAGGCAAGGCCGTTCCCTTGCTGTCCTCGACAGGGTCGAACCTTTCCCATCTGTCCGGAGATCTTGCCTAGGTATTCAGCTCCTTTCGACAATGCCTATGCCGCGAGATCCAATCGGGAGTGATCGAGGGACTCTTGCTCGGGATCGTCGCGAATGGCAGAATGGAAAGATGGAAAATGGCGGCGCAATGAAATCAATGAATGGTCGACGGTAGAAACTAGCCGAGACCAAGACTTCAGGTCGACAGTGATCTGCACTGGCAGAGAAATGGGCTGGCCATGAGTCGCCGCATTCGTACCGAGACGTGGATCGAAGATGGCTTTTCCCGGCCCAAATTTGTGCAGAGCACTGATCGCAATATCTCTTCCCAGAGGTGTTCGGGCCTTGCGTTTCAGACTGAATTCCGACACCCAGTGCATCGGCAACAGCTTACCGGCAACGTCAAGATCTCGTGGATAAAGGCCAGCTGGCGCTGACCAGTTCGACCCCTTCTCCATACGATCTATTGCTCCGGAGGTATGATCTCCAGGGTGTGGAAAAGGTTCGAGGTTGGTGCAAAATCGGAGGGTGGAGCCCGTGGATTCCCGGCGTCGTGGAATGCCTTCCTCTGCCCTAATATCTCTGTGCATCCCTCTCCTAGCATATACTCCCCATCGCAGACATATAGGCCTTCCAAGCTCGAGGTAACTGGATTGCTGCGCGGTTGTCTGGCATCTATCCTTCCATGGCTGATGGCTCGAACATAAGGGATCTCCCCGAACCTACCCCCGGACCTGTGGCCCTATCCAGGCGCAGTCAAATATCCCATGCCGCGTGTTTGACTGCTGTCGAAGCCGATAGATGCTGAACCAATTTCGTTGTAGCCATGTAGAGAGATGTCGTGGTAGCCATGTAGAGGGAGGGGGGAGTCCACCAGCGTGGTAATGTTCCCATAGCAGATCCAGCCTGCCCCGGCTAAGCGCCTGCAAAAAATTGAGCTGCAACAGAGACCCAAATTCCACGTCGTCTTTCGTCTCTTTCGTCCACCGGAAGGAAGATCGACGCGCTGGCCGCGAGGTTAGCCTGATTGGAGCCACCACTGTCTCCGCTGGTGATCAATCGATGATGATGACCTTCATCATAGACGGAGAAACCGGTTCGGTTCGGTTGGTAGACTGGAGCCCCGTGACCTCCCGACGTCGGGAGGTTCCAGTTGATTTTGCCGTCTTGTTGCACTTGTTGCATGTTCTCGGTGGGAGTACCTATAAAAGCATAATGTGTCGCGTGTGTGGGTAACGTCATGGGAGGGGTGAATTTAGCGCCCCATAAAATCAACGACGACAGCTTCTTCTTTTAAAATTGCAACCGAATCAATAAATCACAACCACTATCTACGACAACAACTTTCTCGCTGAGTTTTCCTCGGAAATCTGCAGGTCTAGCCAGTGTTATCTCTATCCTGTTCTGTATTTTTCTCTGCATTATTATTATTATTATTATTATCATTATTGTGAACTCCGTTTCCTATATACGTCACGTTTCCTTCTTCGAGCTACACCACGGTTGGACAAGTTCGGGCAACCCGTCTCTTGCATTACGCTGCTTTAGGGATCGTCATCCCGGGTATCTCGAGTTATTGAATAACGGTCGTGACACAGAATGACGCGATCTGTTGCCCCCCCCACAATCCCTTTTATTATTGTACAATGTCGAGATTTTTCCATCTCACACAGAGACCGTCACCTGTCAGCTATACCCAGCTGCCTTCAACCTCAGAAGCGATAGAACTCGACCATATGCTCCCGGAAGAACCTCCTACTCATGAATCCTTTCGTTATCGAGTCCAAATGGCACTGCAGGCGTTGAATCCCGCTGCCTCGACGTCGGTCGAGGCCTCTGGTTCAAATTACAGGGATCTAGAAGCTGCTGAAAAGTCAGCCACAAAAGCCGGTAATGACTCTGATGCTGAGTCGCCGCCCGATTTGATTGACGACGGAGCTGTCCTCGAAAAAGGAACGCTGGATCCTGTCTACGAAGCCAAAGCTCGAGTATTGAACCATGCTGTATGTACCGGTACCACTCCGACCCTCACCCGGATCCTACACGAGATGACGTCCATTAACGAGAATCAGATCCAAGAAATCGGAATGGGCTGGTATCAATGGCAACTCTTTGTCGTGGTCGGATTCGGCTGGGCGAATGATAATTTGTGGCCCATTGTCACATCTCTCATCCGTACGTCCTCCCCCTCCCCCTCCCCCTCCCCCTTCTCTTCCCTCCTTTCCGCGGCGAAAGCTGACCCTCACAGTCCCATCCATCGTCAACGAATTCCACCCTAAGCGTGCACCCTATCTTCCACTCGCCCAGAACATCGGCCTCCTGCTTGGTGCAATGTTTTGGGGATTCGGGTGCGACGTGTTTGGACGCCGCTGGGCATTCAACTTGACGCTCGGCGTCACTGCAGTCTTCGGACTCCTCGCAGCTAGCGCTTCCAACTTCACCTCTATTGGCTGTTGGGTCGCTCTCTGGTCTTTTGGTGTCGGTGGTAACCTCCCGGTCGACTCAGCTGTCTTTCTCGAGTTCCTGCCGGGCTCACACCAATATTTGTTAACTTTGCTATCTGTTCTTTGGGCATTCGCTCAATTGATGGCTACCGCTATTGCATACCCTCTTCTCGGTAATGGTAAGTACAGTTGTCAGGAGGGGCAGGAAGTTTGCAAGAAGGAGGATAATATGGGTTGGCGATATTTCGTCATCACTATGGGCGGTATTTCCCTCGTACTGTTCCTCGTCCGCTTCGTATGCTTTACGGTCTACGAATCCCCGAAATACCTCATGGGTAAGGGGAAGGATGAGGAAGCTGTGAAAGTCGTGCACGAAGTTGCACGCCGGAATGGCAAGATCTCCACCCGTAAGCATTTCATCTCTCACTTTTTGTCCAAGTCCTCCAACTAATCGTAGCAGTAACGATCGACGACCTCCGCGCCTGTGGAGAAGAACATGGTGGCACCCAGCAAACAGACGCCGCCGCAGCCCTGAAACGTAAACTCGAAAAACTCAACTTCACACACATCCGCGCCCTCTTCGCCACCCGCAAACTCGGCTTCTCTACCGGCCTCATCATGACCATCTGGGGCTTCATCGGCCTCGCCTACCCGCTCTACAACGCGTTCCTCCCCTACCTGCAGGCGATGAAAGGCGCCAAGTTCGGCGACGGGTCTACCAACATCACGTACCGCAACTCGTTGATCATCGCCTCGCTTGGCGTCCCGGGAGTTCTGCTTGGCACCCGGCTTGTTGAGATTCCGAATTTTGGGAGGAAGGGCGCGCTGGCCCTTTCGACTTGCCTTACGGGCGCCTTTCTGTATTGTACGACGACTGCTCTGACGTCAAATGCGCTGCTGGGGTGGAACTGTGCGTTTAACTTTTGCAGCAACATTATGTACGCCGTGCTGTACGGGTATACACCCGAGATCTTTCCTACGAAGGATAGAGGCACCGGAAATGCCTTGACGGCGACGAGTAACCGGATCTTCGGAATCATGGCTGTAAGTGTCCCTGTCGTATGATTGTGGATGGTGAGTGCTGACGGACTGGATAGCCGATTATTGCCATGTTTGCCAATTTAGAGACGTCAGCGCCAGTCTATACGAGCGGAGCACTGTTCATTGTTGCCGGGCTACTCGTGGCCATTTTGCCGTTCGAGTCGCAGGGCAGGGCGAGTTTGTAGATCGATCGAGACGCCAACCCCTAGAGGGGCATCGGTTGGTCAATTTGATTCAATTCAAGAAGTATGGGCTACATATGACTTGGTCATTGACAATCAGAATAGAATGCTCGGAAAAGGAAAAACACCGAGACTATACTTTGCAGATATCCATCACAGCGACGATTCATCCTCGCTGCTATCACGTAGGCTGTCTGCGAAGCCCCCACTACGCCGTCACCAAATGCGAAACCCGCACTATGCAACATTCCGATAGGAGAAATTGATTCTTCAAAACTGAAGCTGGGTCTACTAAGCACTGCATACCATAAGACGTACTCCCAACGCTCACTCGCATTCCACATCGAGCCGAAAACATGTGTCAAGCACCACTTCCAGCAGCGGCAAACCCATGACACCAAAACCAGACCCAAGCAACGCCTCTAAACCCAACCATTATTACCGCCACCATTCCTCCCCCAGTTCCTATCACCTCCGCTGTGTCCCTGGCTGCCCTCGCCTCCATCTGCATCGCCGCTACCATCATGCAAATTGCCACGAGCACTAATTTCTCCCATTCTGCGTCTCACCCGTCGGGAACCGCGCGTTTGAGACGCGTCCTGCATTCACCCTCTTTTTCCGCTCCGGGGCAGGTGCTGATCTCGTTGCATTTGGCGGGAAATCCTTGATAGCAGCCTCGTACCTGTCGAAACACATCCGCAAGTCTTCGGCGTTGGTACCTACAGCCCCGAGGAAGTCGTAGCTGCCCTCTTGTATCGTATTTTCTGTTGGTTCTGGTGGTTCTCGGATTCGGTTCTGGGTGGGAGCGGATTTGGGTGCTGTGGCTGATGATGCTGAAGATGAAGCTGAGCCAATGGGTGCTTGGGTCTTGCCGTTTGCTCGTGTTGAGGTGGTGGATTTGGCGGTACTGCTGTTCTCCTTTCCTGCTGCTTGGGTCTTGCCAGTTGCATATGTTGAGGTGATGGATTTGGCGTCACTGCCTCTTATTGATCCGTCAAGGACAGCAATTGTTCTCGACGCTACTCCCCCTTTGCTTTGGTCTAGCTCATCTTGACATCCCAAGAAAGCAGCAAGCTTCCTCTTGAGCTTCTGCAGCTGTATCTCAATCCATAGGACTCTCTCAGTTGTTGATCCTGACTCTGACATGGCGAGCGAGTCCCTCGCGCCTGGCGTGTAGCTATCTCGCCATTTGCCGAGGGCAAAGCGTTGAGTTGAGCTGATAGATAATAACGTAATTCCTGTCCTGCGCTTCCCGAAATCCGATCCCCCTTGGGAATATCGATCTTACTGGACCCGCCGCAACCTCGAAGATGCGTCTCCACCACCAGCTACAGGTCGCCAGCGTGGAAGATGTAGAAAACATGTGAGTGAGCCCGAAGAGAAGGTGCGAGAGCGAGCCCCCCCCCCCGGGAATCTACAGAGAGTTACGGCGAGGGAAAGGACCGACCGACCGACCTAGTTCCCAGCACGCAACAGAGACTCGACGAATGCCGTTCTTGTATCGTCGGTGAAATGGCAGCTCTTTCTGAGTTACGGGCTAAGAGCCGTCAGTCATCGATCAGTAGCTAGGTACCTACCTCTCACAAGGCTGGCTAGCTCGAAACACAACGAAAGAGGCAAAGCACAGCTTTATCAGCAATACTATAAGAAGAACAGCGACGCAGACCTTGGAAAGAAGCGATCGTCCCCATACTGTATCTATCTCTCTGAGGAGACGATGTCCGTGCAGTTAGTTATGACTTTCCCTCGCGTTTTCGGATTCCTCACTCGCTGCTGAGACTGGCCGCCGTTTTTCTTCTTCACGGCGTACACCTCAGCCCCTTGCCCCTTGCCCCCCCATCAGCCCAGAGAGCCACGAAAGCCCAATAGCCAGCAAGAGCAGCAGTCCGCCAACAGCCCTCAGCAAGCCCACCATGCCCACCACCGCCACACCCAACAGCAAGACTACAGGCCGCCGCGCCGCGACCATCTCCTGCGTTGTCGCGGTGAAGACGGGAGCGACGCAGACAGCAGCAGCAGTATTCTCTCCGTCATCGACACCACCACCACCACCACTAAAACTACTACTCCCACCATCATCCACACACCAAACCGCCACGCTCGCCGTTCGCGGCTCCTCGCCGCTGCCATCCTCGGGAGAGGATCGTCCACGCCCATCAGCACCCGGCTCGCTACTCCCCGCGTCCGAGAGGACAGGCGGTCTGCCAAGCTGGTGCAGGGTACGCGGACCACGCCGAGATACCACCTGTCGGGGGGGCACAGGGTCGTCTGCAAGGTGCGCGGCTGCGAACGTGGCGTTCCTGGCGACGGGCTGCGGCTCGGGGGGGTTCGCTCGCTGCCCTACCGGTGTTTTTGTCGCCGTCGGCATCTCGCTGGGTCGGCGTGTGACTCCGCTTGGCTCTTTGTCGACGGCGACGCCCCGTCGTTGCTGGCTTGGGCCTGGGCCCAGGCCACCGCTAACTTCTGGCGTCGGGGCTGGGCTCTTGGGTTTGCGTTCTTGGGGTGGAGCTGGTGGGGATGTGGTATTTTCTTCTGATTCTTCTTCTTCTTCTTTTCCTCCTCCTTCTCCTCCTCCTTCTCCCGCTCCACGACCTTCCCTACCCCTAAAGAGTCTATCAACGTGTCGCCTCAGCCAGGACCTCTTGCTCTCCTGCTTCCCACCCTTCTTCTTGGCTGCAGATTGCGGATGAGACATTTCTAGAGTAGAAGAGAGAGGTAGAAATGATAAATGAAGTGTGGTTGGGGGGTGGGGAGGGGGGGGTTATGAATTTTTTTTTTTTTTGGCTTGGTCTTCGTTCGTTGCTTGTTACCCTTTGAGAGAGGGGGGAGGGTGGGGAGGAAGTGAGGAAGTGAGGAAGTGAGGAAGTGAGTGAGTCACTGGATAGAGGTGAAGCGTGAATCACTGGGTGTGTAAGGTTGCTATGCTCGTCGGAGATGTTTTGATTGGGAAGTGTGGGGGTAAGAGGGGAGGGGATTGGAAAGCTGTAATCACTTTTCGTTTGGATCTAGCAGGCAAGTGGTTGTGGTTGTGGGTGTGGTTGTGTTCCGCCGTTGGTGATAGACGGGCGAGAAAGGAAGTAGGAAGTAGAAATGGAAAGAAACGAGTTATGAGGAGACTAGAAGGGGGAAATTGTAAAGAAGGGGCTTCCTTGTACTGTTCATATAAGAATAGAGATAATGATGGTTGTTATTGGATCGATCGGTTTATGTGAAGGTAATACTTATGGACGGTGAAGGGTAAGTAGGGCAAGCGCTTTTTGATGAGGTATATTTGAGGAGCCTAGAAATAAACGCGATGATTTTGGCGATCTTGGGAGGTTTGGTAGGAAGCTAGATAGGATGGAAATTGAGCGTACAAAAAGAAAGTCTAGTTACGGGGTGTAAGGAGGGGCAAAGAAGAGATAGAAAAGAAGCTCTCAATGGACTTCCAAAGGACTGCTCAAGACCAAAGAATTACTTACACTGGGTCGACAAGCATCACTATCATGCTCGGTGCATGCTGATGGCAGGCCCTACCACACACTGACCAAAACTCACATGGCGAGGCATAGATACCAAGGATCTTCAGGACCTTGACCTGCGCAGCCGCCCTCTCCATCCATCGTCTACACATGTCTAATGCTTCGCCTTCTCAGCCTCCTTCGTCTTCCTCCGAACCGTCGCATCGATCCGCTGAAAGCAACCAAAGCCTTCGACGCAGCAACTAACGATCCACTTCCACCACAACGCCGTCCCAACCTCAACACCATACCGCCTCAACCGCGTCCGATTCAGCCACCAGCTCTCAAACAAGTGGATCGCTATAAACGGCCAGAACACCAAGCGCGCCAGCCCCACGAACGTCGCCGCGCCACCAGGGAACCACTGCAGCGGGCCATCGTACACCCAGGTGCCCGGCACCATCTTCCTGTGCGTCGCCAGCACCACGATGGTGAACAGGCACGTTGCGAACACGCCCGCTTGGACCCCGCCGCGGGGAGGCTCGTACGCGGTGATGCGGATGGGGGAGATGTCGAGGGCGGCGCGGGCGGCGCGGTCCATCTGCACGCTGCGGGCGCGGGCTTCGGAGTAGGACTTCATGGGCGGGTCGAAGGGGATGGTGTGCGCGTGGCCGGTGGAGGTTTGGAGGGTCATGGACGAGAGGGTTATGGCGGAGATTCTGCACCTGCGGGCTGCGCTGGCGGATAGCTGGCAGTAGTGCTGGAGGTAGTAGGAGACTAGAGGGGAGGTGTATTAGTAGTTGTTCTCTATAACGTATTTGATAGCGGGGAGTCCTTGGGAGTTGAGAGAGAAGGGGGGAGGAAATGACCTTCTTACGGGACTCGGCGTGGTCTTCGTTCATATGCTTAATGATGCGCGCTTTAGCGGCTTCGTCTTGGGCCGTGTCTGCCATCCTGCGTGAAGTGATGGGCAATTGAGAGGTGCGTGTCGATTTGGACCAAGACAGGCCGAGTATATCCTCAATTCGGTTGCCGCGGGAGGAGTGATGCCGAGGAAGCTTATCTGGACCAAACTCGGGCTCCATGCCCTTACTCCGTAGACTCGTGTTACGCGAGACGCTAACACCGACGAGTTGTTGACATCGACACTGGACATGAACGGCTCTTCTCCAAAACAGTAGCAAATAGATATTGGCGGCTCATTTTTGGCTTTGTATATTGCCACAGCTCCTGGAAAATATATCACCTCGTCATGAGCGCAAATACAGAAATGGATCTTGACGGCTCGGAGACATCCCACTTTCAGCTTCTTGATGCCAGTAGAGAGTCATACGACCCTCAGCTCGCTGCTGCCCTGAGAACGGCACAAGATGAATACTCTCTTTCGAATCCGAAGAGCTCACTGGCCCACGACGAAGCTTGCTTGGATTTCCCCGGCGGGAATACGAGGACGGTCATCCACGCTAGTCCTTTTCCCATGACCTTTGGTGAGCTCGATATCCACTATCTACGTTTCTTCCATCATCACTGGAAATCTCGACTGACCTTGAATGCGGGTTTGAGTCAATGGCAAAGGGGCTGAATTGACGAGTCTTGATGGGAGAGTATATGTGGATTTCCTGGGCGAATACAGTGCGAGCATTTTCGGACATTCGAATGAGAAGATTTCCCAGGCTGTATCGGAAGCCATGAGCAAGGGCTGGAACTACGGTGGACCCAACACGTATGAGAGGGAGCTTGCAAGAAAGGTCTGAAGGTCCCGTTTGATGAAACTTTGCACCCTCCAGCACGGCTACATATTACTTGGTCCACTCCTAACGTTCATAGATAACTGTAGTGCTTACTAGCACTAAGATCAAGAGGAGATTCTATAGATTGAATGAAGCTTGGTATATTTTATTTAAAAAGCTCGTCAAGATCTATGTACATGTACCTGGGAGCTTTAGTGTGTTAAAAGCGCTATTAAGCGAGGTCATATAACATGTCACATGTAGCTTGGGTGGAACTATGCTTATTCCGCATAACACACCTTTTAAGTTAGCAGCGTAGCTGCTAAGCTGCAAGCAAATAGAAAAGAAAAAAAAATAAGTGATTAAGCTTTTTAAATTCGATGTAAACAAAAGAGATTGTCATCGCAGTCTAAATAAACAAATGGCGGTTGTTATTATTGATTAAGTGTTAGTCAAGAATGCAATTCTTTTTTAAGTCGGTCTTATTACGTAGCGGAAGTCTTTAGCGCCGTCTTTGTCGCGTTGCTATATAAGTAAAAGCGCGTTCTTTTTTATTATAATAAACACTCAACTTCTATTTATCTATATAATGCTACTTAAGTAAGTAACTTAGTTTAGTAGAATCGTTAAGCGCGGCCGAAGCCGTTTAAAAGTAAGTGCTCTTAATAGATTAATATATCTATGCTAACTATTAAGAGAATCCTTTCTTTGCTTTAGCTATTGCTGCTGCTATAACTGCGGCGGTTGCGACGGCTATACTACGCACTCTTACTTCCGAAGCTTCGCCCTTTCTTTTAGACCTTCTTATTAAGCGCTTGCTTATGCTAACGACCGTCAAGGCTTTGAAGTGCATTAAGTGTATTAATAATAAGATTACATCGAAGTCTAATAAAGACTGCTATAATTGCGATACGAGCGTTATACGCTGTCTTCGGTATGCTAAAGGTAGCTATAGCAACTGTACCGCTGCTTCTACCGCTGTTAATACCGCTTTCGATAACTTCGTAAGCGTTAAAGACAATAGTGCTATATAAAGAGTTCGCCGAGGTCTCCGAGATGCTATGCGATAATAGCTCGCTTTAAATGCTGCCTTTTTAAGAGGTGCTGTTAGTGGTCCGGGCGGTCTAACGAATAGAAGTAAAGGTTTTAAAAGTAGTTCCGGTGGCTTTGCAAGTTTTGCTCTTGCTCTTAAGACTTTTAATTTGAATGTGGCTTTTGTTAGATTGAATAGTCTTGTGGCAGCAAACCGTGGTCCGGTAACGCAAAGCGTCTCGAGCATGTCACCTTTTCGTAAGTCAAGCTCTTTGACTTACGAAATGATCTAATTTAAGCAGCTCTTTTTAATTAGAACTTCTTCTCGGACTTTATGTAAAGGCTTTAATCTGCTGTTATAGCAGCTTTTGCGCTTGCCGCTTTTGTTGCTCCCGTCGCTTTCGCTGCTCTCGTCGCTTTCGCAGCTCTCGTCGCTCTTGTCGCACTTATTATCGTCGCTCTCTTTGCGCTAATCGTTGCGCTTGCCGTTCTCGCGGCGGCGCTCGCCGTTGCTATAACTCTTGCGAAGCGCCGGGCTAAAGTGAAGAGATTGCTAAGAGCTTTGATAGATCTTTTATTATAAAAGGCGAAAGGTAAAAGCGTATAAGATAAGATAGAATAACGGTTAAGATTATTAAATAAATGTTTTCTTTTGAATTACGTGCAAATGAAAAAAAATAAAATGTAATAAGTGAATAGCATATGCGTGCTATTAAAGCTTCTCGATTGACGCGCGAGCGTCTTGTAAATTTAAGAGCTTGATGAAGCTCTTAAACTTCTATCGAATCAAGTTCTTTATAAAACCGTTAGCGTGCATCTTTTTAGTAAAGAGATATTGAACTTGAAAGCTCTTTTTTAAGTGCTTTTAACGCAGTTATATATTATGAATATCGACGTAGCGAAGCTTGGTAAAGATACGCTTTTTTTTACTAGTTATAAGCTTGATTGTTTATTAATTATTACAATAGACTACTTAAAGCGCCGCAAAACGAAGGTGCAGCTCTTTGAAAAATCGTTAAAGCGCTATAGTCTCTTTTATTATAAGGGCTATGCTAAAGAGCTCCGCTTTAATAGATAATGTAATAATTGTATCTTGCTTTAAAGCTTTTTAAAAGATCGCACTTTCGAACAAAAACATAATGTACTTTTGAAAAGATCGCTTTGTCTCTTCGTTATCAGCGTAAGAAACGTCAAAGGCTATTACTAGCTTTGATTTGCTGAATTAATTGTATTGAATACTTTTGAAGCGCGAGCTAAATAAATATCGTAAACACTAGTTTATAGCTCGGAGGTGCTCCGCGCTTAGATTAGTGCTAAAGTAAAAGAGTTAAAAGGCTATAAAAGCTATATTTAAGCGTAGCATGATCGCTATATATAATACGGATTTAACTTTCTTTTAATACTTTTTCACTTGCTTCCGCGAAGCTATCTTTTCATTTTTAACTAAGTTATAGAACGGTAATAGAGTTGCTAAGCAGCGTCCGTTCGTAAGTTCGAATTTCTTAGCTATTTTTTTAATATAAGCGTCGTGCATAAGCGTTAGCGTTCTTCGCTAACGGTCTCGAGCGACTCTTATATTAAGAAACTATTTAATATCTTTTATCGCTTCGATCTCGTACGTTTTATTAAGACCGTCAATGATCTTTTGCGCTTTAAAAAGATTAAAGTAATAGTATATAACTTGAATATCGTTTACGTAAAACGCTATGAAAACCGTTTTGTTTAGATTCGTAAAAATACACGGTTCTTTATCGAATAAAATAAGCTTTAATTTATCGAGTGTGCTTGTGAAGTCGAAATATTATAAAGCTAGCGAGTCTTTAAGTTTATATAAGGTTCTATCGACTTTTACGAGCATACTTTTTTGCTTAAAACCGTTAAAGAGATAACACGTGATTAAGACGCTATCCGTATGTCTTATAGCGTTGATAAAAGCGTTAACGACGTCGAACTGTTTTACTTTTAAATTAAATTCGGCTGTTATAATTATTATTATCTTAAACGATCTAGCTATTAGCGTAGCAGCGTAAGTTGAATAGATAATAGATTCGTTTTAAAAGTCGCTTTTAATTATAATTTTCGATTTAAACTTTACGATCTTTTCGAACGAGCTAGTCTTGTATATAAACATTTACTTAAAAAGTATAAGTTTTAATTTAGCTTCGCTTTCGAGAATTACTTTTTAGCAGTTCTTTTTTTCTAGATTATTCAGCTTTATAAGAGCTCTATCCTTGAACTCTTTGCTATATAAATATCGTTGTAGCTCTTTTTAATAAGTAAAAAGTTTTAAATATTTTCGTTTTTGCGGGTTAAGCTGTTTTAATGACAGCTTAAACGAAGTAGCAGCTGTTATAATAGCGTATAATGTTTCGTAATCTTTATTATCTTTGCGCACGGGTTCGCTATTAGCTTAAAAAGTCGATATAAAATCTAAGACGCGCGAATAACGGTTCGAATCGGCGCGAAAGTTGTTTAAGAAAAGCTTATTAACACTTGCGTATATCCTTGCGCGTTTTTTAATGCGGCTATTAATAAGTGAATACTCTTTACTAGAGTCGGAATTTTATTTAGAGTGTTTATAGTCTAATTTCTTATTATTAGTGTTCGCTTTAAAAAGGTTTAAAGGCTTTTTTTTGATTGTTCGGTTTAAATCTCCGCCGGTTATTAACGTAAAAGCTCTCGTTAGTCGGCTTATAGCTTAGCTTTTCGGGCTTCGGCTTTAAATAACAACTTAAAGGTATGATTTGCGCGCTCTTTTATTAAAGCTAGGTTTTTGCCCGTTTACGGTGCTTTTCTTTGCTTCTAGCAGTCTTAGGGCACCTTCGCTTTTGCTCTTAATTAAAGAGCTAGCGAGACGTTTAGCGGTGTAGCTTGAATTATTAAGGTTTATTAAATCGTTTCGTAAAGCAGTTGCTTTTAATATAAACGTATTTATAAAGTCTTTAATTAAAGTTAAAGCTCTTAACGTTTATGCATCGTTCGGATTAAATAAAGTCGTATTCTTTAAGCTTTAACTAGATCCTTTTAAGTTAACTTTTATAAGGTCTGACGGTTGCTCACTTTTTATATTAGTTGTATTCGTCTTTTTTAAGCGATCCTTTGCAACGTTCTTTATGTTAAACAAAGCGTCTTTTGTTTGATTAGAGTTTTTAATATCTTTTAATTTAATAACGATGCTCTTGATCTCGCTAATCGATTAGCCGATCGATTTTTCTTCGTTTTTAAAATAGAATTGAGTCTTATCGAACGTTACGTTACGTATGACAATCATTTTATAAAGCATAAGAATATAAACTTTATATATGTTAGAAGCTATATATCTAATCAAGTAGCTTATATGTCTTTTCGATTTGACCTTAAAAGCTCTTTTATTGCGAAGAGCTTCTCGATCTTTGATTATTAAGTACGTACGAGCGTTATACGCAACTAAACCGTTATAATCTAGTCTTAAGTCGATGTCGATTTATATAAAGATCGCTAGATCGTACTATTTAAAATATTGCTTAAACTAAAGCTATAGCACTTTATTCGGACTCTTTATAAAGCTCTTCGCTCTCGGTGTTATGTTGTAAAAGTAGATAGCGGCTAGTATAGTCTTAAGCTAGAGCTTCTTTAAGAGCCTTGCTTTTACTTTCATTTTGATAGACCGTTTTATCACTTCTCTTTTAGCCCTTTTAGCTCTTTTATTAAGTTCGTAATTAAAAGATAATAAAAGCTTTAATTCGATCTTAACTTTTTTCGCTTATCTTTGATATTCGGTAAAGCCGATTACGTTAATTGCGATTATCGAAGAATCGTTGTTATAACGCATAATAGCTATTAAAAGACTGTATTTACGTCTCGTTTATGCTTTAAATTCTTTTAGCACTTTTATAACCGTTAATTATAATTTGTCTTTTAGTATAAAGCCGAATAGCTTTTTATTATATTCATTTTTAATTATTAATAACCATTTGCTTTTTTCGAAACCGTTAAAGAAGTCGAATAGATCTTAAGCGATCTTGTAAAATGACTTGGCTGCTTTATTATTTAACGTGCGGCGAGATATGACTTGTTAAGCGTGCGTAATAGTATATGCTTTATATTCAACCTTAATGATTCTTTTAAGTCTCATCTTTTTAGCGTTATAAGCTAGCGCTTCGAAAGCTTTTTTGCTTAAATGATTTGTTCGTAAATGCTAGAGTATCGATGAATCTTTTTTTAAAGCTCGGAAGACATTGCTCTTTTAAAATTTATAACGTGTTTGCAAGCGCTTTTAAGTTATAAAGAATATTATTAAGCAAAGAGAGCTACGAATCAATTAAAGCAAAGAATAATTAAATAGTTTGTATTTAAAGAACGTAAAGTTGAACTTCTTCTTTAACTTTTTTAATACGACGCTCTCTTTGACTTTTTTATAACGGAGAGTTGCGTTATATCTCGAGTATTATACGCTAGCCTTGCTTAAAAGAGCTTTTAAGATGATATTGATATTAAACCTTTTAACGATAGCGACGTTCTTTAACTTCAAATCTTTCGTCTTAGCTTTATTTAGTCCGTTTAAAGCTTTTTTAAAGACTTTGGTCTTTCGCTCGACGATTAAGAGACTACTCGTTCTAGCTTCGATGAAGTCGATTAAGCGAGAGCGCTGAATTGACCTTGGCATTAAGAGATTCTTATCGTTGACAAAGTGAGTAGCGCCGCAATTGTCGAGAAGAGTGCTGTTAAATAGCTAGTGCTTATTGTTAGCCGTGCTATAAAGACCGTCAAAGATAAGATTATCGAGCGTGCTAAAAAGCTTAAGATCAATGATAACTGCTAACACTTTTTTAAAGTATTTTAATTTATCGCTATCGTTCGATTGCTTCTTTTTACTCTTTAAGACGATTTTATCGACTTGAATTTGTACTTAACCTTCTTTCGTGATCTTTTCTCGGAGCGCTTTGAACTTAAGTTCTTAAAGCCTCTTCTTTGTAACGACGATATCATCTCGGTTCGGCTTTGCGAATTTACTTTCGTCAAAACCGTTAAAGCAATAGCGAAGGATCTTGCACTTGATTACGTCTTAATAGTGGTTTCTCTTTTTAAGGCACGAGCACTTAAAACCCTTAGCAGGTCCTTTGAAGCTATCGGAGCGTTTACCGGATTGCTTAAGAGCAGTGTCGTTGGCTTTATCACTTTCGGAGGTGCTGCGAATCGTTTGATCTCCGAAAGTAGCGAATACACTAAAGAGGTTAAAGTTCGGATTGCTAGTTTTCTTTTCGACTTAGCTTTCGTACTAGTTAAAGTAGTCGTAAAAGGTGCGCTTTTAAAGCAATGATAGCTCGTCGTTTCGAATGACTTTTGCGAGCTTTAGCGACGCTTAAGTTAATAACTATTTTTCGCTAATAGCTTTTAAGAATGCTTTTGTCGCGAGTGTACTCGTCGTCTCGTAAAGGTTATTTATCTTCGCTAACTTGTAGATAGCTCGGTGTTCTTTAATCTATATCGTTAAAGAGACGCTCTTTTGCTTAGCTGCTTGTAAGGATTTATTATAATCTCGTGCTATCGATAGCTTAAAGCTCGAGTCGAATAAACGGTATATTTCTTAAAGCTTTTTTATTAAGAATTAGATAAAAGTGTTATCTTCTTTTAAAGCCGCCAAGATCGCTTCCTCGAAAATAGAGCTCTCAACCGTCTCTTTGATCTAGTCTATAATTTGATTGTTTTTGTTACTTAAGACCTTTTAGTTGTTTATAGCGAAGTTGTATTCCTTTATGTTATCGTTATACGCTTTTCGGACGTCTTCGAACTCAGCGTCTTTTAGCTTTAAAGGTCTGTTAAAATCGTTTGCAAAAGCTTTTAAGTGTAATTTTTTTTAAGCCTTTCGTTAACGGTCTTACTTTTAGAACCATTCGTTGTTAAGCTTCGTTATTATCTTTATAGCAGACTTCGTTTTTAGTCTGATCTGCTCGATAAAAAGAGCAGATTCTTTTACGCTAATACGAAGAGATGCGTATTGTTTTATGTTAAAGCGCTTGATAAAGTATTTGTAATTCGTAATCTATCTTAAGAAGTCGCTACGACTTGTAAGGTTCGTTTTGTTAATTAAGAAGACCTCTTTTATTTTGTCGTCTATTATTATAGCAGTTGACTTTGTAACTAGAGCTTTTGAAAATTAATTGGAGTTCTTAAAGGTGGTGTGTGTTGGTTATAAGGAATGAATATAGTTGAAAAAGGACAGATTGCAAAAATGAAAGTTGTAGCAAAGTAGCGTAGAAGTGACTTGCAGAATCCGTTCTCGATTAATTCGGAGGTTGTTAGAGACTAATTAAATAGCTCGTGAGTGCGAATGTGGCTCTTAATTGTAGTGCTTACTAGCACTAAGATCAAGAGGAGATTCTGTAGATTGAATAAAGCTTGGTATATTCTATCTAAGAAGCTCGTCAGGATCTATGTACATATACCTAAGAGCTCTAGTGTGCTAAGGGCGCTACTAGGCGAGGTCACATGACATGTCACATGTAGCTTGGGTGGAACCATGCCTGTTCCGCACAACAATAACCAAGCGCTTCTCCCCGTCCGGCGTTGAGCTCGTCCGCTTCACAAACTCCGGCACAGAAGCCAGCACCATGGCCGTAGCAGCCGCTCTGGCCTTCACGAACCGTAAGAAAATCCTCGTCTTCACCAGCGGCTACCATGGAGGAACCATGTCCTTCCCATCGCCGCTCAACTCCATCAACGCCAATCTTCCCCACGAGTTCGTTCTCGCGCCTTACAATGATGTAGAAGGCACCAAACGTGTTCTATCATCACTTCCCAAGGATTCGCTTGCTGCCATCGTTGTGGAGGGTGTCCATGGAAGCGGGGGCTGCATCGTAGGGAACCCTTTCTTCCTCCACTTTCTGAATGCAACAGCGCGCGAGCTCGGCGCAGTGCTCATCATGGATGAAGTCATGACATCGCGGCTCGCCTATCACGGTCTCTCTGCCAAACTAGCACTCAAGCCAGACCTAATCACTCTCGGAAAGTGGGTGGGAGGCGGCATGACCTTCGGCGCTTTCGGGGGCAGGAAAGACATAATGAGTATGTTTGATCCTCGAACGGGCGTCTTGGGCCACTCGGGGACTTTCAACAATAATGTGATCACGATGGCTGCCGGATGCTGCGGGCTGGATATCTACGACGAGCATGAAGTCGAGCGACTGAATGCCATGGGCGAAGATCTGCTCCAGCGCATCCAAATAGTTTTGGTAGAAGCTGGCGTTCGCGCCTTCAAGGCCGACTCAAAGGCAGATCCTATATCGTCTCAAAGGAGCGAACTCGAATGTCCCTTTAGCGGGATTCTACCCGCTGGCTTTGGAAGCGAGAAGACTGCTGAGTCTCTACGTCGGCGGCAGAAGAACTCCATGGGAGTGACGGGACAAGGGAGTATGCTGCACATACACTTCTATGGGCCGAGCACCATTACTCTGAAAGCGCTGTTCTGGCACCACATGCTGGACTGTGGGATATACATCGCCCAGAGAGGGTTCATGGCACTAAATCTGGAGCTGACTAATAGGAATGTTGATGAATTCGAGGAGGCGGTTAGGGCATTTCTTATTAGGTACGGGGATGCACTGCGATGACAGCAGTCCTGTCAGTCGAAAACATCTAGGCGAATATGGACGAGCTACGTGCGTCGGACACTACGAGCAGAGTTTTTACATATGCCGAGGACGTCATTCAATCATTTCCCGCAAGCACCCCTCGCTGTATCCTCCCAAGCTCCTTGAGGACTGTCTCTCGAGTTTCGCGATTCCTAGAAACAGATTGCCTTCACCAGCATAGATACCAGGACACAGTCTCCGCCCGGCACCGTCGCCGTGGTGATCGCGAGCCTCGCAGCCTGGCGAGATGAAGCGAGCTTTATCCTCAGGATATGGTCGCCGCTCGCCACGAGGTCGATACAATCCTGTAATACTCGTACGACGATCATGCAATGCTGTACAGCTGGAAATGCACATGGAAATGCATATGGAAGTCCTCCCGAACGAACGGCCGGGCCGCTCAATATACAGGATCGAAAGGACAGCTGCAAAACATGATGTTATCCTTCCAAGCCTTCAGATATCGAAGTGTCTACTTCCTTTCCTGGTATCCCTCTAGCTGGTTGGTAAATGTGCACGCACCTTGAGGAAATGTTTATAGGAAGCGATGATCTTGCTGATTGATTTTCCTGCTTATGATATACATCCTGCATTTCCCTTTGATTACCGTGCCTCTTATTAGCGACCATTGCAAACGAAGCGGGGAGGCTGATGAACGTCGAAATGAAGACTGCTGAATGGTTCAGAGATTCAAGCAAGGACGGAAACATCAGATAAAAAAATAGAATAGGAACTTTGGTAGATGTGAGGCTGGAAGCTGGGAAGTGATTCTGTCATATTGTTTTTCAAAGCGAACGATGAGCTGGCTCCCTCTTCGCTCATATCCCGATCATTAAATATTGCCTGTCTTGAATGAGATGGTTGTTGAGTCTGGATGTGTTGATTATATGTTGGAGGAAGGACGGAATCTTGGTAGATAGATGTCTGCTGTCTCTCGGATATGTGCTGTCTCGCTGAGATGGTGCCACGTGAGACACACACACACGTGCTACTCTCTCAACTTACTGTAATGCTCTCCATACTGCCAGCGAACGAAAAGGTCAGGGCTTCTATGCTCGGTAAGCGAGCATGTGCTAAGTAGGTAGCCCAGGTGGCCGGCCAGGTTCAGGAATACCTAGGAAACCGACATATACGACATATGCACTCCTTGCCACTCCATAGACATTTACACATATAGGCTTACGGCAAGCCCTCCCTCAACTATTCACACGTGCGCACGCCTACCGATTGCATCTACAACATAGAAGATATCGAGGTTGAACTTACCCAAAGATAGCTGCACGATTTCTCGGTTTGATATCTAGCAAGGTCCTCGCAGAAAGCCTGAGGTGCACATTCGCCCGGTCGTGGAAGTCCAATCGATAGGTAGGTAGGTACCGGTAGGTAGGTAGGTAGGTACCTAGTCTCGCATGATCACGCCCACGACCGTGTGCTGCAGCTCTGGCTCAGACCACCGGGACTCCGACCCCCTCACCCGTCCACTACGTCTGTGGGCTGATCGTTGGTACAATAGAACGTACACCCCGCAATCATATTCTCTTTATCACATTCCCCTCTGAGACCTCTCCCTCCAAAAAAAAAAGAAAGAAAGAAAGAAAGAAAACCTGCTACTTCTTTCAGAACGATGGGTACCTTTGGCGCACGTATGCTCGGCCCTGCAAGCCCCCCGAGCAAAAAGGAAGAATCGGAATCGAGCTCTGGAGGGGAGGCGAAGCCAGCAGGGGACACGAATGCTGCCAGAACGTGGAGGATGGGCGATGCGTACGACCGGAAGATGGTGCATCACGAGGGCATAAAGCAGCTCTGGGAGTCGAAGTGGAAGTTCCCCGTAAGCGAGCGAATATGTCAACACCGCGATCGATCTCCATCTTCTTCCCTTTGACACCCTTCTCAGTCTCGACGGTACTGACGAGGCAGTGTTCGATGAGCGTGTACCCCTTCCACGACGGCAAGATGGAGGATTTCGAGCCTGTCTTCCTGGAGCTGATCAAGGTAAAGAAAGCGCGGCTCTTCCACTTTTTCTATTCTGAGAGGATGGGGGGAGAGGGGTAGGAGGTCCTGATGGTGTCGTTGACCGCAGCCCAGAACCACATCAACGAAGGAACTAGCCCTGCTTACACCGAGGCTTTCTTTCCCGTCGCGGCATCACTGACGGAGAGAGGCGACGGGGAACAAGACCCCGAAGCAGCGAGCGCCTTGTATCTCCGCGCCGCCTGCCTCTATCGCATCGCCCGCTTCCCGTGAGTACCGCAGCTGGAGAGCACACCCACCCACCCACTCACTCACTCACCCGCTCACCCGCTCACTCCCCATGTTTCCATGCAGCTACATCTCCGGCTTCCCCACGCCCAACGACGCCACCAAATGGCAAGCGTGGACCCTCCAAAAAGCCGTCTACATGAAAGCCGCCTCGTCCTGGCCGCAGCCCATCCAGGACCTCACCATCCCCTTCCCGCACCACTCCCCCACCGAGCGCGCCGAGATCCCAATCTACGTGCGCCTGCCCAGCGCGCCGCCAGCCGCCGCCGCCGCAGCAAGCACCCAAGTCCCCGCCGTGATCCTGATGACCGGCCTGGACGGCTACCGCCCGGACAACACGACGCGCAGCGACGAGTTCCTCGCCCGCGGCTGGGCCGCCCTCATGGTCGAGATCCCCGGCACGGCCGACTGTCCCGCCGACCCTTCCGACCCGGCCGCGGGCGACCGCCTCTGGAGCGCCGTCCTCGCGTGGATGCAGGCCGACGCGCGCTTCGACATGACCCGCGTGCTGGTGTGGGGCCTCAGCGCCGGCGGGTACTACGCCGTGCGAGCAGCGCACACGCACCGGGAGCAGCTTCGGGGCGTGGTGGCGCAGGGCGCCGGGGTGCACGAGTTCTTTGACCGGGCGTGGATCGAGCGCGCCGATGGCCACGAGTATCCCTTTCGGTAAGTCAGTCAGTCAGTCAGTCAGTCAGTCACCAGGCAGAACGGAGCCAGCTGCGCGGGATCTTGGCCCCATCTCGTCATTTCCTTCCTGATTTCGGTGGTGAAGGGTTTCCCTCTTTTGTTTTAAACTCCCTTTCTTCTCTTCTCTTTTCTCGGGCTCTGCTCTCTGCTGATACGGGACCGGGGGGGTGGGTTTGCTAGCTTGAGTCCGGCCATGGCGTCGAAACACGGGTACAGCAGCGTCGAGGGCTACAAGAGCGGTGCGCAGAAGAAGTTCTCGCTGCTGGAGGCCGGGATCCTGGAGATGCCATCCACGCGCCTCCTCCTCGTCAACGTCAGTACAAACCTGCTTTCTTCGTTCACCACTGCCTATCCTTTCCCATCCACTAGAGAGAGAATATATATATATATATATATAGGTATATATATATATTTCAGTTTCAGGAGCTCGGCAGCTGATATCAGAGCGAAAATCTGCAGGGGACGCACGACGGACTGATGCCAATCGAGGACTCGATGTTGTTGTTCGAGCACGGCACCCCGAAAGAAGCGAGGTGAGAACAAGAAAGAGAAGACCCCCTCTGCCCCTGTGCCCCCCGCGTTTCCGCATCGGAGGCGAGGATGGATGGATGGATGGATGGATGGAAGGATGGGACGGTGCTGATTGTTCGTTCGTCTGTAGGTTCTTTGATAAGGCGCTGCATATGGGATACCCGAAGGCCAACTCGGCTGTGTACCCGTGGATGGAGGCGGTGATGGCTTGAACGGGCGCGGATGGGGTTGCAGGTCGTTTCACCACTGGCGATAAGCCTGTGAGCGGGTGAGGTGTCCATAGACCAATGTAGTAGTACCGGTAGTAGTAGTAGTAGTAGTAGTATTACGGCAGAGATACTGGCAGATCTTCTCTCCTTCTCTCTCTCTCCTTCTCCCTCTCCCTCCCCTCTCCCTCATCAACCCAGACCACAAGCGAAAAAGCATACCTACGGTACATCAGCCCGCACCCGCGCTCAACTTCGACATGATGAAGTATACAGGCAGGCAAGGCCCCTTCGCCCTCCCGCCCCAAGAATCATCCATCGCAAACGCTTCTCGGATTCGTCTGTAGCACACTGTAGCACAGCCCGGCCAGCAAACTGCCACCGGCTTTTCCAACGGCGTCGATCGACTGTGAGAGAGACTCACTCAGCAGCAGCAAGTAAGTGCTCACTCAAACCAGCAGCATCTGCAAACCTTGCAATGCAGTTGCAATACTTGGAGCACTTTTTTTTTTTAAGAAGAAGAAAAAAAAACCAGTGGAAAAACCTTTAGATGAAGCTTCGAAAAAACGGAATCCACGAAAAGAAAAAGGAAAAAAAAGAAAGAAAAAAAAATACCTATCTGCTGAGAAGGGGCCAAAAAAAAAAATTTGATATATAAGCTCTGCACAGCTGCAACCCCCACCCCCGCCGCCTATTCTTAGAACAAAAAAATGGGGCCGGGCACAACCTCAGCCGTAGCCTTAACAATCATCAACAACGGCTGGCTCTGTGGTAGCTCAGATTCAATCCTGGAATCGGGGCGTTGTCTTGTGTATCGGGAGGGGGCTTGAAAGCGCCGGGTGTAGCGAGTAAAACATTGCTACCTGCACGCAGCATCGCTCTGGTGCAATTTCCGCAAACACGATTCCAAGTCCGAGTCCGTCAGCTCAAATACCAAATCCTCAAGGATTACCTTGTTCCGGAATAAACAGTATGTTTGTCAGTCCTGCCCAGGCACTTTACCACCATCACATCCAGTAGGCCACAGGGAAGGGGTCAGAAACAATTCTGTCCTGTTAAAATAAACAAGAGCCGACCCGCGCAGAAAGACGAGACGACGGCATCTTTTGCCATCGGTGGTATATATACAGCACAAAACGCTCCCCCAATCCCGTATCCAACAACAAACGTGAGCCGCAGGACCCCAAAGTCAGACAGCGCCGTGCTCCCAAAAACAAACTCCAAATGAGTGCCTCCTATGCAAGATGGCCACAGAGCGATGCTACTTCTGTCGCGGAACATCCCCATCTTCCCTCTTGTCAGCGCTTGCTCTCTGCCGTCCCTCAACAAGGACATACTCGGAGTCGGATTCACCTTCGCTAGCGCCAGGGGTGGGCGGCAGATCTCCTCCCACTGGGTAGCCCTTCTCCTGTCTGAATTCCGCGGAGAGTGGGCTTGTCGGGTATCCCTTCTGCGCGAATGTGTCGGCCAACGGTGCGCGCTGGCGCGGGTTCGCCCGCCCGGAGAGCTGGGGCCCGGCGGTCGCAGCTTGCCTGAGGCGTTCTTCGGTGGCTTTGATGCGGGCTTCGAGGGCTTCGAGTTCGGATGCTTGGGTCGACACGGCTTTCTTTCTATGAGGGGGGTGGTTAGGATACCGCCTTTCACGTAGTCGAGGGAAGGGGAAAGAGGGCGCACTTTTCTGAGACGGCAGCGTCCAGGTCTGCGAGGCTGTTGTCTATCTTGAAGAGGTCGTTGAGGGCGAGGGAGAAGGATTTAGCCATTGTTCTGTACCAGGCTGTTAGAACTTGCAGCGCGATGAGTTTGTTCAGATGCGCCGGCTCACGATGTCGGTCTGCCACTAGGCTTGTACTCTCGGTCCAGCTCTGCGTCGGACATGGTGGGCAGGATAAAGGGTGAAGTGTAGGAGTGAAGCGTAGGAGAAAGAGGAGCAAGAGGAGAAAATGGTGGAGAGTAAAGGAGATCCGTAGGTAGAAGAAGGAGGCGTAAGAAGAGAGAAGCGAGAGCTCGAGGAGGTGGAATGAAGTAGTATAGGAAATGGTAGGGTAGGGTAGGGTAGGGTAAGGTAGGTAGGTAGGTATGTAAATCAGGGTATGGGTGATCTTCAATGCTATTCTAAATTGCCAATATAATAAGGGGTTTGTGTCGGGATGGCGGTGCCGGCTGCTCTCCTCTGAACTCGTCGTCTCAGTCTCCGTCGATCTTTCCCTGTGATGCGGATGCGAGTTTTTCCTAGGGATGGCCGGAAACTCGAAGGGATCTCGAAGGGATCCCCAGGATGGAGAGGCCACCGCTCGTCATGAGATATTGGCGGAATCATGCGGACTGGACTACCGTACGGTACCGTACCGGTCGGTACCTAGTAGTACCTATACCCACAGATCAGCCAACCCCCACCCAGCCTTGTGCCATGCCTGCAATCTGATACGCGAAATGGCTTGCACGGGCTTGGGCATGATTTGTTTCATGATGGATACCTAGAAGAATGAGGGAATGAATATACTTCTACAGTATGTCCCGCATACCCGCGTACGGAGAGATAGAGATTGAAGCGTAGATAGTTTCTCATGGAGTTGCAGTCAGAAGAATGAGTAGAGTGGGTGTTGGTGTGTTGGTGTGTTGGTTTGTCGGTTTGGATACGAAGAACAGGAGTTGGGTCGAAGGGGGGCAAAAGGTCATCCAGCGTCCTGTACGAGGTCCCACCTGACCATCGATCATGAGCACACGTGATGTACTTGTGACCAAGATTTGAGGCGGACTAGCCTCCGTAGGCATATGGGAGGCATATAGTAGGCAAATAGTGGTTGCATATCAACAGGAATATATAGCAGAAATAAAAGCTGCGCACACTGATCAGGTGCGTCAAGAGAGCCGGACCACGACTCATTCTCGATCGTCGAACCCTCGACAATGAGATAAGTTCAAAAAAGGGATATAAATATATCTGCGGTCCCACCCCCGAAACGCCTTCATGAATGCTAATGAGCGTGCGGCGAAGAGCTGCACCACTTCTGCTGCGACTCACGGTGTGAACCGTTTGGTGTAAATTCAAAGCTGGGGAGAAGCCCCTATGCAGGAAAATCCATGCAGACACGAGCCGGTGTGGAGGGCTCCTATATATATATCTGCTCCAATAGAAGAAGACAACACGAGCAGCCAGAGGTTGATCTTGATATGGTGTGCTGAATAGACTTGGAGTAATAATACCTGTATCCCACCACATGTGAGAAACGGCACTGAACTACATGAACTACCAATGAGCAGGACATCACATCTATGAGAGAGGAACGATGCAAAATGAGATCGGATTGGACTCGTCCTCCTCATTCAAGAAGCTGAAGATGCCCCAGCCTCTTCCCTGACGGGATGCCATCATACCTTTTCTCCGTGCACTATAGCTCTTCCCGCCTAGATATTCAACTGCGCTGATAATGTCGATTGACGAATTGAATGACGTAAGACAAAAGATCTGAGCGAAACAAGCTGGGAATGGGCAAAGAAGTACCGGTGTCGATACGAGCGGTATGTATCCACGAATAACCTACAGGCGGCGCACAGGTCTGTTGTTGAGCTTTCACAAGATACATTCATTGCACAGAAGAGCAATATCCCGAGTTATCGATCATCTCAGATTAACTCGAATCCGAGAGGTGCGGGCATCTGCAGAAGACCGAAACGTAGATTTGTTCTACGTCCAGACGGAGCTTCCCGCCGCCAATTTCGTCGCCGGCGATGTGGAAAAAAGGACGACACGTGACGCCATCACATCGATTTCATCATACACTCTAGTTTGCGACGACGCCCAAGACCCCATCGCCCAACCTCATGAGCGCTATCAAATCGCGATCCGTCGTCTTCAGCGCATCTACTTGCGCCTCCCGGCCAGGTCCTCATCTCTGCCGCCGCCGCGTACACGACCCAGCAGACCTCTGCACCTCGTCGTCGTGGCTCCCATCCATCTCGTTTCTTCCAGCGACAACAAATCCCTCGGGCGCTGGCGAGGTCAGTGGGGCATGAATTCTACAGCAGCTCCCTATACGCCCCTCGAATGTCTCTTGCTGTTCCAGACGCTCGTGGTGTACGGCACCGGAGACCAGGACTTCGAGCGCATTTCAAGCCTTCTCACGAACAACCCCCTGGTAAGGGATGCCGAGACATACGACGCGCAAAGGCTGAGCGCAGACGCGCTGCGGCAACTGTACCTGGGGCTCCTGCGCGATGAATTGAGAGCAGAGGAGGAGGGCCCGGAGGATCAGATGTCCAGGAAGCGGAAGCTCCCTTCACCACCTCTCCCATCGATCAAGGATGCCCAGGAGTACAAGGACAAGCTGCCGCTGCTGGTCAATAGACTCTATGCACGATATCGAGAATACATGATCCGGGCGATCCAGGAGGACGAGAGACAATATGCCAGAGTACAGCAGGAGATCAAGGAGATCGAGAGAGGGGAATGGGACGAGAAGCTCTTGAGGGAGGGCCGGGCTGCGAATGGGATACCGACGGCCGAGGCAAGAAGATATGGTGTACCGGAAGCTCTGATTTTACATCCCAAAGCACACGAGGTCCCGAGGGAGGGTCTCCAGAACCCTCCGCACCCATCTCCACGACCCGAAGGAATTGCCATTAGCGATGTTCTGAACGGCACCAGTACAAAGCCATCTTCACCACGAGTCCCAGAGCATTCTCGGCTGCCAGGCTATCCTCCTCCACCCGCAAGGCCCGGGAGCATTGGACCCCATGGACCTTCTCCTCTCCAGACTCCTCTCCAAGCTGGTGTCGATGGACATCACCCAGGTCCTCCGCCTTTCCCACCCCCGCAACCCGCTCAGCATTACGCTGGGCCGCCGAATGGCCAACCTGGGCAGTATACCTGGGAGCCTCCCTTCGCTCCTCCTCCGATGCAGCCTGGACACGGATATCAGTTCAATGGCCAGCATCCACAGCAATATCCGCCGTATCCACCACAGCACCACGCACACCAACAGCCATTCTCCAGCCCTCACGGGCTCCCCCCTCCGCCCCTCCATGTACCGTCATCTCCAATCAACCCCAACCCGCATCAAATTGTTCTTCCACCTCCAAATGGCATTGCCAGACAGCCACCAGGATCTCCAGCTATGCCTTTGGATGCATTGGCCGATGCTGCTGGTCAGCAGTACCGTGCCAATTCCGGCTCACCGATGATTCAACATGGTCGGAATCCCGGCTCTCCCATGCCCCCTCAAGGCCCACCTCAATCACCTATGACACAAGGATTTCACGTGCCTCCCAGTGGACATCATGGCCCTCCTCATGCCTCCCCTATGGGACAGCATGGATCTCTTCATCCCCAATCTCCAGCCTTGCAAGGATCTCCTCATTTCCCCTACACACCTCAACAGCGGCCTTCCTCTGGAAATGGGCCGCCTCAGTGGAATCAGCAGCAGCCCATACAATTCTCAAGTCCCTCGCAGCATAATTCGATACCACCCAACCAACGGCTACCTTTCCAACCTACTCCAAATACCGTACCGAAACAGCCCAAAGCCTACCACTCTCCTTACAACCCGAACAAAGACAAGAAGCCTCCTGCCTTGCGATCAAGCTTCCCTCAAACACCTCTCGGGGGCCCAGTCAGACTCAGGACTGGAACCGGAACACTTTGGACCCCTACCGCAACCATTGGCACTCCTGTTCGTCCCGAATTAAGCTCGTTCAACTCCCCAGCAATAGAGCCCAATAGTCCAGTTCAGCGTCCCGCAATTTTGCCAGAGAAGAAGACGCCCAAGAAGGCGGAAGCTCCGACGATGGCGCAGTCAGTTGAGAAGCCGAGGAAGGAACCCAAAGCGAAGACTGCTCGACGTGCCGTTGGACGCCCGCGAGCTGGGAGTGTCGCCTCATCAGTCATGGCCGGCTCGCCGAGAAGTCAGTCGGTCATGTCTCACGGTGATGAACTATCGTTGGATAATGAGACTCTACACCGTGCTGTCAAGCAAGAAGTTGCCACGCCTGTTGGCATTGAGGATATAGCTGATACCACAGCCGACGAACAGCCGCCTCCCCCATCACGCTCTGGGCCTTCTCCGCGCCAGGCTCTGAAACGTAAGCGAGCTTCCAGCATCTCCCTTCCCCCAATCGAAGTCCGGCCCTCCGTCCCACCAACGCACGTCCTCTGGACCCGCGCCTTTCCCAACATCTCCAAATCCGCTCTTGAATCAATAGCCGGCCATAGAAACGCGAGCACATTCGCAGCCCCAGTCAAAGTCAAAGACGCCCCCGGTTACAAAGAAATCATCCTCCGCCCACAGGACCTCACCTCGATCCGCAAGGCAATCAGCGCCGGCCACCGTGCCGCCACTGCGGCTGCTCCCGACGACCTACCGGCGAATGCATCGAGTGCATGGCTTGAGATCACGGAGGATCTGATCCCACCCAAGGGCATCATCAACTATGCGCAGCTAGAAAAAGAGCTGATGCGCATGTTCGCCAACGCCATCATGTTCAACCTGGACCCTGGCCGCGGCCTCGCCCGACACTTTCAAAGCATTGGCAAGGGCAGGGGCGACGTCATTGGGTACGAGATTGATGAAGACGGCGTGGTGAAGGACACCAAGGCCATGTTCTTCGACGTTGAGAAGACTGTCGGCGCGCTGAGGAGCGCAGAACGCCGGAGCGAGGAGATGAGGGAGAACTCTATGTTGAGGGCGCAGGCTGTGGACGAGAATATGCAAGACGACGATGCGGACGAGCCGGCCGGGGAAGGGGAGACTACTACTGGGGTTGGCAACACGGGGACTATCAAAAGACGACGGAAGGCATAGATCGGTAGATAATCGGCTGGTTCACGCGGACTGGCTGCTCCTGTAGAAGTAACTAATACGAGGCTCCGAGCTGTATCATCATTACCACCCTGTGTCTACGTAGAGGCACACGCGTGCATAGACTACCCTCCCTCCTCAGGCTCCCTACCTAACGTACGGCATTGGCGTGTTCTCATCCCGCCGGGGCGTTCTTGTTGCTCAGCTGTCTATCGCTTAAACCCTTGCTCTAGCCTGGTTCTGTTCTGTTCTGTTCTGTTTTGTTACGTTTTGATCCTAGAGCGTGTGTACATTGAGGGATTAACCATCACCACAACCGGGGCGTGCGAGCCGAGTGATCACGCTACCATGCTACGCTGCACAAGCGGGATGATTTATTGATTTACTTATGTATATGTGTGTGTATGTGTGTATGTGTGTATGTGTGTATGTATGTATGTATGTGTGTATGTATGTATGTATTGCTTAATCACTAGTCATGATGATGATGAATGCGGGGAGTGCATGCTCGGGGTTTTGCTTTCACCTTGCCTGCCTAGCTTTGCCTAGCTTTGCTTCTGCTTCTGCTTCTGCTTCTGCATCTGCATCTGCTTGCCTTGGCCTTGGCCTTGGCCTTGGCCTGATGGCTGGGTCGGGGTCGGGTCGGGGTCGGGGTCTGGATCTGGATCTGGATCTCTCATGCCGACGTCGCGATGTCGTGATTGATGGGGCGGGGAGGGAGGTGCGACGTATTATGTTATAGCGACTTGGGGTCGGTGGTGGCTGCCGCGGCCGGCGGGTTGGGATTGCTAATAGCCTGCGGGGTGATTGGATGGCGGTGCGTCTCTCGTCTGGTGTCTGGTGTCTGGTGTCTGGTGTCTGGTGTTTTGCACGTTGAAGGTACGGCGGGGAGCATCTGTGCGGTGGGAGGGCGCGGGGGAGGGGAGAGGAGGAGAGGAGAGGAGGGATCGTTGTGGTTTTTTTTTTTTCTTTTTTTTTTTTTCGGGCGCTGTTGGGTGTTCGATCGGCTGCTGGTCAGCAGGTGGGGTTGGCGGGTTTCTTTCTGGGCTTGGTGTGTCGCGTTGGGTGTGGGAGGAGGCGTGTTGCGATGCAAAGCGGTGCAAGCGGTGCGAAGCGAGGCAAGGTGTATACTGACTGTGTGTTAATGCTGGCTCCGGGAGGTGAGTGCCTTCCGGCTTTGGAGCGGATTGTTTGGTGGGGGAGATTTTACGCTGGCTAGCTATATAGAGAGAGATGGGTCCTGTTCCGCTTCTCTCCCATCTGCAGAATGGTTCTGGTGGTGATCACAACGTACTGTTGTTGATATTGGCGCTTTCGCTTACGTCCCGGTACTTACTTGCGTGCCTCACCTCGATCGGTACGACATCGCATTCGTCGATATGGCCTCGGGATCTACCCCCTTCATGGACTGGGTCGCCGACTTCAAAGGCAGAACGCTGCATCCAGCCGGTGCTTCCCCTCTCGAAGGCTTGCCGACCGAACTCTTGACTAGAATCCTGCTCTACGTCTCATCAGCCAAGTCAGGCGCTCGCTGGACTCCGCATGCGTTGCCAGGTATTTATAGATATATATATACATGTTCTCCCTTCTCCTCTCTACTTCTTCTGACGATGAACAAAATCAACATGAGACTTACCAAATCTTAGGCGACGATTCTCCCCGAGTCGTAGGCTTACTCTCGAGTCTCCAAGTCTCGCATCGTCTGCACTCCGTTGCTCTCCGCCTGCTCTACCACTCCCCGAGCATCCAAGCCAGCAGGAGTCTGGCCTCCCCGGTCTCGAAATTCTTCCACGCCGTGGACCAGCGGCCGGCATTCGGTGCCCTGGTTCGCACGTTGGATCTGACGCGCGCAGCCAAGATCGGCTGTGACTACACCCTCTCGCATCCCGATCTATCTCGCCTCCCGTCGCTGCGAGATCTCCGTCTCGCGCTAAGCCAGCTGGAGGGGATATCAACACTGCACCACCTCGTCTCCTCGCGCGCCTCGCTCGAAGCACTCACCCTCGACGTCTGCCGCCGCCGGGATGCCCACAGCCCGATGCTGCAGAGCGGTGCATTCGACACGCGACCCCATGAGCTCCTCGTGTCTGACGACAGCAGTAACCTCACGAGTCTGAGATTCACCGACGCGACCGGAACAGGCGGCGGCGGCGGCGGCCTGCACCTCGTCCCCTCTGCCATGCTGGGATCGCTGCTCCCGAGGATGCACAGGCTGCAAGTGCTAGACGTGAGTCGCACGCGCGTCACCGCCGAGGCGCTGGCCTCGATCCCGGCGACGGCGCGGCTGACGCATCTCAACATCGCTGGATGTCAGCTCCTCGCCTGCGATCGCCTCGTCGCTTTCCTCACCACCCACCCGGCCGTCACCCGCTCGCTCCAGGTGCTCCGCGCCGGCCACGTGCAGCAGCAGCAGCAGCAGGTCATCACCACCCTCTCCACCACCTCCTCCTCCTCCTCCCCCTCGGAACCGCAAGATCCGCTGCGCGAAGACCAGATCAACGCCCTCCTGGCCGCGGCGCCGAGGTCGCTGCGGAGTCTAGATCTCGGCATGGCGCGCATGGGACGCGGCAACATCCCCTCTCTCCAGGCGGCCTGTGGACAGCTGGAAGAGCTCAGTCTCGGACCAGGCTTGACGATGAGGGACGTTGAAGACGTGTTGCTGCAGCCGATGTATACCTTTGCAGACGAACACCCTGCCGTCGCGACGTGCGCATCTGCTGCGGCGGCGACCTATTCCCCGAAAGAGGAAATGCGCGCCGAGAGCATCTTGGGGCCGATGCGTGATGCCGTCGCGCTCTGCCAGCTGCGGAGGCGTCTGCATTCTGTTGTTCCGCGCGCGGGGAGGGAGAGCGGAAGTGGCACTGCTGCTGCTGCTGCTTCTTCTTCTTCTTCTCCTCCTCATTCTTCTTCTTCTTCTTCTTCTCCTCCTCCTTCTCCTCCCTCCTCGCGGCTGCGATATCTAAGCCTAAACCGTCTCGCAGCAGGAGAGCAGGACCGGCTTCGCCGCAGCGTGCTACTCGGCAGGCCAACGCTGCCCCTGCGCATCATCGACGTCACGGCACTCCCGTGGGAGGGCTTCCAAGTCCTGCAGAGGCTGGCCGGCGCGGTTGGGTGGACGGCCCGCTGGGAGGGAGCGCGCACGTGGCTTGAACGAGTGTAGGATAAAAGAGTGGGTGGGGGTACGCACCTCTTTCTCATCGCTCATACCGGTACCGTAATGACTCCAGATCTGACAGACAGGAAATACCATCTGGCGATGATGATACCGGTATGATCGTCACAGTTCCGGTAACTCGTTTTCTGGACGGCTTGGATTCATTCCGTCAAGCGCTGGAGAGGTTGTCGGCGGGCATTGAAGTAGTCAGGGAATGTCATATCCTCTCATCTTGATTTGTGTCTTTTTCTAATAATCAGTTTTTATCTTTTTTTTTCTTTCTTTTTTTCTTTTTCTTTCTTTTTTTAGGGGGGGTATTCTTTTGATAATACGTGTGTTTCCTGTGCAGAGGTAGATAGATCAGTCTCTCTTCTCTCTTCAGGCTTCTCCTCCACGTGCACGGGCACGCATACCTATCCTGATTCCTATCCCCCTATCCCATCCCCCTATCCCATCCCATCCTATGCCATCCCAAGCAAGCAAGCACAGTAACACAGCGCGAAGCGCGTCTCGAACCCAAGTCAACAAACAAACAGACTAAGGCCCTCTGAAGAATCAATATATAAATACACATATCTACACATATCTACACAAAACTCACCACCCCCACCCACCCCTATCCACCCCTATCCACTCCTACCCACCCCCAACATCCGCTCCTCGATCCACGAGCATTGTAACCAGAGCTAGACACCAAGACAGGAGAGGGCCGTTATGTATGTACTCACAGGCTTGTTCTTGCTAGGTTGGATTACATAGTGTTGTTATACCTAGCTACATACTTACCTACATACCTTCCTACCAACCTATCTTTAGAGTTGGAATGGTGACGGTTAGTCGGTGGTTAGGTTTGCGGATTGTTAGTTGTGCTTAAAAAAAGGGGAGAGGGAGGGGGGGGGGGGGGGGGGGGAAGGAGAGGAAAAGAGAGAGAGGGGGAGAGTGTGTGTGTATGTGTCTGCTTTGGATACCGTCGCTCACGGACGTCTGAGGGCGCTGGGTCTTTTGGGGGTTGATGGATTGTAAAGGTAACCAGTATGGGATGGGATGGGGGAGAGTGAAGGGGGGGGGGGGGGGGGGGGGGGTAGGGAAGGAGGGAAGGGATGGGAAGGGAAGGGAAGAGTGTTGGTGATTAGATGGTGAGTGGCTTTGTATAGATTCTTTCTTGGATTAGCTAAGAGGGATTTTATTGCGAGTGTTTTCTTTTCTTTTCTATTTTACTTGGGGTTTCGTTGATTTGGTATTAAAAAAAGGATCGATTCAACGACTCGCATAATCTTTTTTTTTTTTCTTGGAAAAAGAGCCTGCCTTCGTAATGATGAGTGGGCGAAGCTTAGAGATGGGAATAAACATGACTATGAGAAAAAAAAAAAGCTATCGTATACTTCCAGGTGAGCTCGCTGCTTTTTTATCAAAAGTCATCACAGCACAGCACAGCACAGCACAGCCGTGTGGAAAACTACATGCATACATGGATAGATAGGGAGCTAGGTAAGCTAGCTAAGCTCCCGAAAACCACACGGGACGACAGGACAAGTTTCGGCCATTGACGCCTTTTCTTAACCTCCTGAGAGGCCGCCTCCTCGAGCCCCACCGCCGGTTTCACATGATGAAGAGGAGGTTGGTATCTAGACAGAGGAACCGACAGACTGGTTAGCAGCAGGATCACAGGTATGGATTGGGCAATGGGGTGCATATGTTGTGTGTATGTGTGTAAATACCGAGGGGGTGGCTGCAGCTCAGCTGCGGCTTCTGGCTGTACTTGGTGGCCAGCACGTCGCGGATGCTGTTCAGGAGCTGCACGTAGCTTTGCTGGGGGTTGGCCTTCATGGCGGTGATGAAGGCCCAGGACATGGCGCCGGTGGCCTGCGAGGCGATGGTGGCGTCGGCGCTGTCGGGCCAGTTAGCCATGGAAGGGGCAGCCATCGGAGGCGGAGGCTGGGGAGGAGGAGGAGAGGCCTACGAAGTCTGGTCGTCCTTGCTGCCAGACCACATGATGACATCGGCGGGAGAGGTCTTGGTCGTGATAGTCTTCTTGTAGGCCCCGTCGGTCTTGGACGCCTTCTTGAGGAAGCCGATGAGGTGGCCGGCAACCGCGACGTAGTTCCCCGCGCTGGCGGCGGACACGACGCCGAGGAGCCCCATGCCCGCCTCCTTGGCAAGGTTGGGCTCCTTCAGGACGCCCTGGGTGGAATAGAGATAGGGCAAGTCGAGGGCGGAACCGGAGTGGCACGAGTCGAAGATGGCAGTCAGTCGAACACCCGCCTGGAGCGGCGTCACCATGATCGCGTGCATCTCGTCGTCGACGATATGGCCATGGCGTTGGTAATCGACGGGGTAGATGACCTCGTCGCTCCCGTCCTCCTCGTCGCCGTTGGTATCCTCGGTCTGGCCGCCGTGCCCCGAGTAATGGAAGAAGAGAGAATCGTTGGGCTGGCTGCCCTGCACGAGCCAGTTCATGGCGCGGAGGATGTTCTCCTTGGTCGGCTGGCCCATGGGCTCCTGGGAGTCATCCGTGAGGATCACCATGTCCTCCCTCCGATAGCCGAAGCTCTGAGTCAAGTAAGAAGACACATTGCGCACGTCGTTGATGCACCCCCGGAGCTCGCCGTTCTGGCCGAAGTAGTTGATGCCGATCAAGAGTGCTTTCCTGCGACCGGCGCAGTTCGAGTACTGGAAGGCGTATTCTTGCGGAGCTCCGTGACCGAAACTCACCATCCCCTGTGGTGGTGGCGGTGGAGCTGGAGCCGCTCCTTAGCGCGAGGTAGCGTTGAAGGTGGGAGAGACTCATACCATGTCCGTATTGCTGGCCACGATCATGTTGAGGCTACGTAAATGAGAATGAATGGCTTCGAAGAGAGACCAGGAGTGGAGATGTACCTGCTGGGAGCCGTAGCCGTAGCCGTAGCCTTGTTGTTGTTGTTGTCTGGAAGAGTAAGCGGGTATCACGGAGGAGGGACACAGAGAGAGAGAGAGAGAGAGAGAGAGAGAGAGCACTTGCTGTTGATAGCCCCCACCATAGCCTTGACCTGGATAACCTGACATTGTTGAGAACTTGGTGAGTTGTAATGAGATGTGTAGTTGTATGCAATTCGGCTGGAGGAATCCGATGCATTAACGTTGACGTGCGAGTCGTTACAAGGTTTCAGATCCGGACTCCGTACGTGGATAGAAACGAGACTGACGCCAACAACCACCAAACTCACGACCATTTACAATCCGAAACTGCTCTCGCATCCCGATAAATCCAAATACTCTGGAACATCTGCCTAGGTTTCAAAAAATTGTATATTCTACAGTATACCGGTACACGCGAATGATTTGCATCATCTGCGTATCTATTTTTAGCATCAGGTGGGCTGCAGTCCCAGCGCCAAGTCGCCTGACTCGCTTGGGCTGCGAGCTTGATTTACTGCTTACGGAGACCTTCACTCTGAAGTCGGAGTGAGAGAGAGTCGATCGAAGTAAGGAAAGAACAAGGCGGCTTAGTCAGTACCACTTGGCGTGCGCTAAGGAACGAAAGAACTTGTGTTTCTTCCTCCTCTCCTCCTTTCCCCCTCTCCCTCTCTCCCCCTCTCCTCCTCTTTGCTATCCTCTCTAGCAAACAAATACATCAAACAAGCACATCATCAATCACTTTTGCTCCCACTCTTCCCCAGTCCACTGCATTGCCTCAGCCGCCCTGAGCCAGAATCTGCTCCCAATGCAACCCGGCGAGGCTCTCCACACCATGGAAACAAGGTAAGCGTGTGGTGCTGGATCTCTACTGGATTTGTATTTGTATTGCCTTGCCCTGCTCGTTGAAGTGCAGGAAAACCTTTCTATTTTTGGAGGAAATTCGCTTTTCTTCTCTCCCCTTGCCTGCTCATGGCAACGCTTCCGGCGAGCTCTCGCCGCCAGGCTTCTTCCCGTACACCACCCAGAAGTTCCAATAAGCATGGTATTTTCGATTCTTCAAGTCTCGCCTCACGTGGCCCATGAACGCCATCACTTCCTCGGCCGTCCAACCGAGGGCTCGAGTGAAAAGGGCTAGGCTCTAAATGGCCATAGCAACGTCAACAAGGGGCCAGCCGAAAGGTGTCGGGAGAGGTGAAGGATGGGACGTCGGGTCCCGTTACCTACCATACTTTGGCATCCCCACTGTGCGACCGGAAGATCAGTAAGTACATGCTCGGTTCTACGTATTTCAGGTGCAGAGGAAGAGCCTCTGTGAGAGAAACTGGGAGCGGGACGTGGGGAGGGGATCTGCTTTTGAATTATTCTTACAGTAAAATTCTCCATTGCCCACATACCGACTTCCTTAGCTCTCTTGTCCTTGGGCCACGGGTTGATCGGCCACTTGATCGGTACCGCGACAACGTTCTCGAATCCCGCATCAGCCATCATCTGTGGTACTTTGGGAATGGCATCAAGAGGAAATCCAGCGGCGTTCGCGCCCTCGTGCATGAGGCTGTGCCACCGGACAAGATCCGAGTCGGCTGGCAGCGTGTCATCGTCGCATCGGATGACAAAGTCTATATCGTGTATCTCGAAATAGCCTCCGGGCTCGAGAAATCTAGAACGACGGCTGTCAGAGCTCACCGCGGCCTCGGGGAGGTGCACCGTGTCTTACTCGAACGACTGCCCGATGAACTTGGGCCAGTCTTGGAAAGCACCGATCATGAGTTGGCTATGGACGTAATTGAAACGACGGCTAAAATTCCATTCTTTCTCGAGGTCATCCACCTCGAACTGCAGGTTGGGAGGGACGCTTTCTCGGACGTCAGCAACTGTCATGAGCCGACCCGACCGCGAGAAGGGACTGACAATAGAGGCTGTACGGCTGCCAGATCCACGCCCAACACTTGGGTCTCTGGATGCTCATCAGCTGTATCAAACCAGTTATAGTAACTACGACAGGCCGAGACAGGGGGGGGTCGGCTCACCAAAATCAATCGCCCATAGTCCTGTGCCACAACCCACATCGAGGGCTCGGTGCAACGTCTTGAGTGGTGCCCAGGTTTGCTTCTTGCCTAGGGATAGCCATGCGAGATGGTGCTGGAAGTCTACCACCGGACCGTCAGTCGGTGATGCCGTCTGGCTTCTTTCGCTGGCTCAGGAACATACCCAGACGGTTCTTCTCTTCCTGGGTTGGCTCACGTCAGTCGAGTGTCCGTCTGTCTCTGGGTCAGAAGAGGCCAGCTGACCTCGTCCATGGGAAGGACATATTCTTTTCTCTTATCAGCACATCAATCGACCTGACTGACTGAAGCATGATGATAGATAGCGGTCCGCTCACTTGCATCCATGTAACCATGATATTTCCGGCCGTGCTCTTCACGCAGCTTCATCATATCCTCACGGAAAGATGTGGCGGCGGTGCTTATGGAACCCTGGGTGGGACCGATCAGCAAGTATACCGAGGACCCGAGGTCGAGGTCGAGGTCGAGGTCAAGGGCGAGAACTCGATCGACATACCGTATCGAAAAGGGAGTCGTCCTCGTCGTCATTCGTGTTGTGGTCCACCACCTCCTGTTCGGATGTTCAGAGCGGTGTCCACTGTTCCACGGGTTGAATTCCGGGCGCCAGTAGGCGAGAAAGAAGCGGCGGACGGGCTTACATCTGGATCTGGATCTGGATCTGGAATTGTATCTGTCTCTACATCTGCCTCCAAGACGGCAGCAGGCGCGGTTGTATCCATATTGATTGTGATGGTAGGTTTTTGGTCGAGAGGAGCAGATGTTGTTTCTAGGAGTGAATCCATAAAAATCCATCAGTGTCGTCAGGCCATGTGGGAGGTCACACTGCAGGCTTGAGCGAAGTGAAGCGAAGTGAAGCGAACCGTTGGCTAACGGTGCAAGAGGCAGGTTTGCCTGACTTGCCTTGCCATCCTGTCAACGCCTCAGCCGACCGACCCCTTCACTACCAATCAAGAGGCGGTGAATGACCGAATTAGGAACGAAGAGGAAGGGAAAAGCACAAGCAAAAGCATAAGCAAAAGCACAACCACAACCACAACCGCAACCACAACTACAACCACAACTACAACCACAACCCAAGAATAATTCGAGTCTTGTCGATCACCTTATGATCGACTCTCACCCACGATGGAAAGTCTCAACGCCACCGCCACCGCCACCGCCGTTACCGTGCTGGGTATCACAGCTTATTTGTTTTGGGCCTGGCATCGCTTGTCGCACGTCCCGGGTCCCTTTTGGGCATCGATCTCCAAATATTGGATGGTCCGCCAGTCGTTGCACGGCCAGATGCACCGCGCGCTGAAGGAGCTTACGGACCGATATGGTGGGTAGGGAGGGCTTTATTCCGTTTGGTTTCATTTGGTTCCATTCACTTCCACTCAATTCCATTCGATTCCATTCGGCCGAGTGCATCCAGCCAGCTAATCCAAATCCTCCCAGGCTCACTGGTGCGTATCGGTCCCAATGACCTGGTCACCGACGACCCCGACGTCCTAAGGCACATGATGGCTGCCCGGTCGGCCTACTCACGTGGTCCTTGGTACGATGCCATGCGATTCGACCCGTCCCGTGATAACCTCCTGTCCATGCGGGACAACGAGAACCACCGCAAGTTGCGGAACCAGATGGCGGCTGGGGTGAGTGGAGTAACACGTGATCCTCACATCCTTTGCGACATGTGATACAAGTCACGTGACACAACACACCACACTGACTGTCAGCTGACTAACATGCGTGCCTTCCCTAGTACTCGGGCAAGGAGAATGAATCCATGGATGGAACCATCGACCGCCAGATCGCGAACCTGGTTCACCTGATCGAGACCCGCTACGTGTCGATAGGGCCCGACTATCGACCCATGGATCTCGGCCAGAAGAGCCAGTTCTTCACGCTAGATGTGATCAGCGACCTGGCCTTCGGCGAAGCCTTCGGCTACCTGAAGCACGACGAGGATGTGTTCGACTACATCCAAATTACGGATCGCTATATCCCCGCGATGCTGGTCATGGCCAACCTGCCCTGGCTGGCCCGGCTCACCCACACGCGTCTGTTCCGGCATGTGCTACCGAAAGAGAGCGACAAGTTGGGATTCGGGGCATTCATCGGGTGTGTATCCTTCGTATCTATCTATCTATGTACAGCACCCATATTTGACAGGAAAGCTAACTGCCCTCATCAGGGTGGCCAAGAAGGTCGTGCGCGAGCGCTTCCAACCCGGTGCGGAATCCAAGCGAGACATGATGGCCTCGTTCATGCGGCACGGCCTGACCCAAGACGAGCTCGCCGGTGAGTCCCTCCTCAATGTCATCGGCGGCAGTGACACCGTGGCCGCCACCATCCGCGTGGTCATGCTGCACCTCATGAGCGTCCCGTCCATCTACCGCCGACTGCAAGCCGAGATGGACGACGCCATCGCCGAAGGCCGCATCTCGTCACCGATCCACAACCGCGAGGCGAGACAGCTGCCGTACCTGCAGGCCGTCATCCAGGAAGGGCTGCGCATCATGCCTCCCGCCACGGGCTTGTTCAGCAAACAGGTCCCCGCCGGTGGCGACGTCATCAACGGCATCTTCGTCCCGGGCGGGACGCAGATCTCCTCGTGCGCCTTTGGGATTCACCACTCGACGAAGATCTTTGGTGGGGATGCGGATCTGTTCCGCCCGGAGCGGTGGTTGGAGGCCGAGGGAGACGTGTTGGCCCGGATGCTGAGTACGGAGGAGCTGATCTTTCACTCGGGTGGGTTCCAGTGCTTAGGGAAGCCGGTTGCGCTGATGGAGCTGAACAAGATCTTTGTCGAGGTATGTTCTTGGATGAGGGTGTGTGTGTTTCTTGGCTGACAAGGTGTAGCTACTCCGGCGCTTTGACTTTGGGATTGTGAATCCGAATCGGCCGGCGGACATAAAGAATGCGGGCATCTGGATCATCACGAACTTCTGGGTGCGGGTGACGAGAAGAAATCTGGGGGGAATTGGGGGGACTGGGGGGAGCGGAAGTGGGTGAAATGGCTGTAGAAGGGAGGGTTGGTTTCTAAGTTCCGAGGAAGCTACGAAAACTGATGTGCCACCCAGGAGAACGGGCTAGGGGGTAGTTCACGGGAGGGGAGGGGGACGAGGCAAGTAGATGGATGCGGAGCGCCATACATGGTGTTGCTATGACATGTACGTATATTTCGACGACCGAAGCGGTGGCATTCAAAGCATATCTGGCGTGCCTCCTTGTATCCCAAGGGCTACAGAGCAAAGCAGAATATGAAAGAGGCATAGATGCGAGCAGGCATTCGGGCTAGCTAGCTCAACCCAATGAAGCGAAGTACGGATTCCAACATGGTATTGCCGAATATCTCCTAGTCCTGCCACTAACTGGATTCGAGGTGATATAAAGCCTATAGTAGATTCTATATGGCACTCTCTTGATAATATGTAAGACATCTTGATACATTTCGCGGCGCGATAGATACTGATCTGATATGTAGGTTAGGTTAGGCTAGATTGGATATCTTTTCTGCAGCTGCTTTGAAGTTTATAGTTAAACTGCTTTGCAAGCAGGGCGGAGGATGAGGAGGAGGTTTTGGTCGCGGTGGTCATGGTGGTGGTGGGAGAAGAGCAGGGCAGGGGAGGGGAAGGGGAAGGGGATGAGGATGGGGATGCAGGCCGGGAAAAGGAGAGCCATCAATCCTTTACATCTCAAGAGATTTGTGATTTGAGAAGTACAGCATACAGCATACAACGAGGTCTTCTCATCCGAGATCCTATTCCAAGCTGTCGGAACTGAGACCTCGGTTACCGATCTTCTGATACCTAGCAGTCGGTTTTGGGTACTGTCTCTCTCACCGTGGTAGCCAAGTAGGGCTCAGCGAGAGTAGCAATCGACTCGGTCAACGCTTCGGTCAAGTTGGGTGAATGAGTCGAATCGGTCAGGTGACACTGACTTCCGTTTTGCTACTCTCCGTTTGGATCGGTGGCTAGGGAAGGTATATATAACTTGATAGGTAGGCGAGCTACGATTTCACTTCGTTAGAGGCATGTAAAACTGATTTGAGACTGAAGAAGCGTATAACTGAATATGGATTTGACTTGCTTGCATTATACAGTTCTGTGATACTAATGAAGCAGTTCTTTATTTACAAGTTTGGATTGGGATGTCTCTTATTCAAGCCTTTGTTTGTGTTGGATGGTGTGAAATTGAGGGTAAGGAGGTGAGAGGAAGAGGATAAAATAGCTTGTTAGAATTTAGGTAGTAAATATTGACGAGGTGGGATTAGAGTGATGTCGGGGTGCATAATGACGGTTCTGGGTGTCTTGAGAGCCGTTGGAGCGAGAGATGGAGTCTCTTTAGTTCTCAGCGGGGCAGAGGTTAATTTTTATTGAGTACCAGTCTCTGCTTACTCGTTGAAAATAGATGGGCTTGAAGCTTTTCTAGATCCTACGGTAAAGAGAGGTAGCGATAAGAATGAGGTTCGAAGACGTATAAATAAATATATATCCTGGAAAATATACGAAAGAAGGTGCTGCTGTATCCCGCGTTTCACGAACTTGGACCTGCGGGCATTATATAGTGATGACTGGTGACCGTTGCGGCTTCGCCTATGAATCACTCCACCTTGGAGATCCGCACTTGTTATTCTGCATCAGAAGCTTTGCGTACATCCAAAGCCTTTCATGGTCTCTGACGGCCAAGAAATGTAAATATATAAACCAGCCTAGCCACGACCCAGGTCTTCCAACTCCATCAACTCGCATATCACTCTCTCCCTCACCCACATGAGTATCTGACCACTATGCCTCCTCTCAAAAGCCTCCAAGGACTTCCTATCAGAAGCAAACAGGTCATTCCCTCTCCTCCCGCTTCTTCTCCGGCTCCAAAGCCTCCCAAATTTCACAAGTTTTCCGAACTCCCCGCCGAAATCCGCATCAAAATTTGGAAGTTCGCAATCAGACCGCAGCTGATCCAGTATGAATTTGACTATAAACACGGAGCACCCCCCTTGAACATTCCCAAGGTCAAACCAGGCAGGATTTCGTGCACCCGAAGTCCTCGCAACTTGCTGGCCACCAACCACGAGGCCCGCGCGATCGTGAAAAGCCTGAACCCGGACTCCTACGAATGGATCCAAGAAGACGATCGCCTCCTGATGACCAAGAATCCGTCGACGATACCAATCCCAATCTTCAACCCTTCCCTCGACACGATCCTGCTCCAAGGCCTCCACGAGCTCGGCTACTTTAGCTGGGCATACAGAATCGACAACGAGCGGCTTGTGCAGTACCAGCAACGGAACAGGCACATCCGATCCATAGCCATCCATAGCTTCCTAGAGGCCGCGTCGATCGTTGCAGGCTCCCACGGCACTCTCTACGAAGCCGACGCCAGAGCGTGCTTCGGAAGTGAGTCGGTGCTAGGGGAACTCTGCTATCGCGACATGGAGCGCGGATTCCTCAGCTACTACCGGCTCGAGGAACTCATCATTGTGTATCCCGGCGGGGAAAAGTCGCCGGATACGGAAGATATGATGCCCTTGCTTGAAAGGGCGGAGAGATTAGTGGTCGTGGGCGACGCGGAAGAGACGGAGAGGCGGATATCGACCTTCTTGGAGATGTTCAGCGAGCAGTTGCTGTCGTCGCGGCGCGCTTTTTCTTATTGGCACCCGGTAGATGGAGAATTAGAAGAAGTGGAAACATCGGAGTGGTGGAAGGATGCGAAGATCACGCTGATGACGGAAGAGGAATTGATGCGGAGGTTTCAATAGCGTGGCCGCGTCGGCTGCTAAATTAGGAAAACGAATGCAAAACGCGTAGAGCTATAAAATACTTTCTATGAACTCGTTTATATTTTGCGTAATGGATTTTCTATCGAGTTTCGGATAGAGATTGTGCCTGAGCTTAGTAGGATCATTGTTGACACGAGCTCCGTTACTTAGTCGTGGAGTCTTGAACTACCCGCTCTATCTGGGTCCCTTCTTCAGCTTAAGGCCACACATATATTACTGTGATTTCAGCGTGTGACCACTATATTTAGAGACTGAGCTATAGATATAGAGTATTGAAACCACGCCTCGGTGCTACTCTTGTTATTCCAAAGGCGGTTTATGATAGGATCGATTTAAATTATGCCAGTCAGCATGACCCTTCTCATACCTGCACTGATAAAATTTCAGAAATCGAGAGGATTAGCCCACTTGGGGCTTGCTGATAGTCTATGTAGATGTATACGAGCTAATAGAGATGCTATCCGCTTGCCCATAACTTTTGAGGGTTTATTTACACCTCGCGATTTCCAAGAACTTTCTGGCCATCTTATCTTAGCTGATAATCCCCCACGCGAAGATACGGTCCACTTCCTGCGTTTTTGAAAATACAGCATACTGTACAGATTCGCCTGGGTGCCAAGTGCTAGATAACTAGGCGAAACCAAACACCTGCAGGTGCTCATATAGTGTAAGAGTCTTCTTTCCTCTTCGAATATGAGTCCATCTATTATTTATCATAATCCTCCGCTTTCATACCCATCTCCCCCCGGAGCTTGGAATCATTCTCCAAACACGTCCGCAGAAGAAGATCGATCATGATTTAGAGAAAGAGCTGCATTCATGAGCATTCAGTTATAGCCTTGCTCACATGAGCTACAAGTAGAAGTCGGTCGCATCAACCTCCTCTAGAAATACATCCCAGACCTCGTGTTCAACCACACCCTTATCAGCGAACCAGCTACCGATCTCTGCACTTCCTTGAATGTCTCTCCAGGGGGCACCCTCCCCATGGTCTTTAATGGTATCCCAGCCGTTATCAGACTGATACAGTCCAGGAGGCCCATCCACAGGACCCAAACCCACTCCCGGGCTGTCGTCTCCTTCACCAGCACCCTTATCGTCTTCTGTACCGTCTCCATCATCGCTATCATCCATCTCCTCCTCCTCAACGTCCGAGTTCCCAACCCCATAAGCTAGAAGCTCCTTCTCCGTGATATCGTTGAACCTGAGGACGTAGTTCCAAGAGCCCTTCTGCATCCGCATCCAAGTGTAGACCGGACAGTCTAACCACGTCCACAGATTATTCAGCGTCTCCTTCCAATTACGGACAAAGATCGGGAGGAAGAAAGCCTGGATCGCATCTCCCGTAACCAGCTGGCCCCATCTACAATCATCTCTCTCATGCTCCGTCGCATAGACCAGCGTAACCTCCTTCACGTTCCCCAACTGCTCAACCACCTCCAACAAGCGGCCGATCGGTCGAGGCATATGCCTGAACAAGGGACTTGGATGAGCCTGCGAGATACCAAGGAGCCTGTTGAGCGTAGCCGGGAAGAGCTCACGGTTTATCATGGTGGCATACGTCAGGTCGCACGTGCCGGGCACCTTCTTCCACGCGACGACCAGCGAGCGGAGATCGAGGCCTCGCATCCCGACGGGCGCAGAATTGTTGGGAGCTGCAGAGACGTCGCCCATGTAGCGGCTCACAAACACGCGCAGGGTTTCGAGGTCGTCGAACATCAGGATGTCGCCGCGCGCCTTGCAGTAGGAGATGCCCTTCTTGTCCACCATGCCCTTGAGGTCGTTGGGGCCGGCGATGGGGGAGCCGGTGGTGTAGAAGCCGGTCTTCTTCAGCGTGCGGTCGGCCAGCTCAGCCCTGGTGTAGCGGCGCAGATGGATCTTGACGATGCGAGGTGGGGCTTGTTGATCTGTGGCTGTTGCGCTGGGAGCTGCTGCTGGAGGGAACTGAGCTGCTGCTGGAGCGGCGTGGACTTTCTGAGACGATTCATCGATCTGCTGCGGCGTCAGAGAAGAACCCGAAGAGATGGATTCTTTTGCGAGCGCCGCCGATTGTGAACCTACTGTTGCTCCGGGTGATACGTCCATGTGGTCGACGGAGGGTATCATGACATGGGAATCCTCTTTGCTAGGAGCAGAAGCTATTTGAGGGCGCTCGATCTCCATATCGAGATCCATTTCTGTCGGGAGCGTCATGGGTGTTGCTTGCATGCTGTTGTTGACGAGGTTCGATCAGCGAGGCTTGGTCAATCTTGTATCTGCCTCCGGAACAAAACAAACTAAAAGTGAACAGAGAACACTAAGCGAAACAATGAGCCAATCAGAACGTGACTTTGGTGCGCCACCGCCTTTGAACTGCTTATTGCGAAATGCCATCATGGTACCGAATCAAAGGGGATGGATGCATATGCATAAGCAGGCTTTGTGGTGTAAGTCAAGGAAGAACGGAATTATAATAAGCAGTATCTACATACAGAAAGGGGAAGCACGAACTCCTTCACGAATAAAGGGTGCCTAACGAGTTACAAGACATTACGAAGTAGCGGGATCTTTGCAAGAAACATCTCTTTAAATGCTCTCCAGTCTTCATGGACCCTTCCAGTAAAGCGTTCAGGGTTTCAGTCTCAGCGCGCAACACTGTCAACAAAGAAATAGTTCTATATATTTGGAAAACCTGCATTGATTGAGACGTTCCTTCCGTACACAGCTCTGTAGGGAGACTTCGGCTTCGTTTGCTTTATACCCTCGCCATTATTACAACCTCCTCGAAGCTCTCCTTTGGAGAATCACTTAGAAATCATCAAATAAACTGCCAATGCATATCCAAGTTCACCTCTTCCGTTTGCCCAGAAACTCCCCCCTCCCTATGTGGGTAGGGAAAAGAAAGTAGAGCTAATTGATCTTGTAAGTAAGAAAACGAATATCATCGTCTCCTCGTGTGAGAAATTTGATAACCTGGTGGTTTACATGTTTATTTTCTGTACTTTGGCTACCTAAGTCATGGCTCTTCGCCCTTTCCAGATAGACCGACCATACCAAGCTATCATACATCTCTGCCAATTTCTTCCGTATTCAAATCATTGGCCGCCTGTTGACGTGTGCCTCGAATTCTGGCAGTGACATCATCAAGAATTGGAATCCGCACTTTGAAGTAAGGCGACCCCTCGCGGTCCATCTTTGGAATCGGCGATTTGCCATAATGTAAGTTGGCCAGACGTGATCGGGTATAGGATTTAGAGACTCCTTGATCAAAGTCAACTCTTTGAGATTGTCAAACTGTATGATGGCTTCCACCAGGAGAGTGATAGCATCCCGGGTATCATTACTGAAACCTTTGTCTGGGTATTCAATTGTGGGAGGACAGAGCGCCCTGGGTAGCGTAAAGTCAGCAGTTACCTCTTGCGATGGATGATGAGAAACCCTCAGAACATTTTCAGGGGATCGAAGTAAAGAAAGTGCTGGGCTTCCCTATTACTTACAGGTGTCGTAGAACCTTGTCCTTGCAGCGTTTTCTCGGATCGTGAGTAGTGAACAGATTGAGGGCGTTTTCTCCGAGCAACAGAGTGTCCAGTTCAGGATTGAAAGCGACAGGTCTCAACATGTATTTCGAAAAGCAAGGTATCAATCTCTGCATGGCAACAGCCCTCGACTCCCTACATGCGAACCACGTTCCAGGAGGCTTGGTGCGGATCCGGTGGATAAAAAATCGATTCGTAGAATCAAGATCGCGCATCTTCTCAAGAACGATGATTATTTGCGGTTTGTGGCTGGATATCTCCCAGATTTGGTGCCTTACTTTCTTAGGAAGTAGGGCAAAACGTGATAAGTTATTGGGAGGTTCGATCGGAGAAAGAGAGATCTGCGGCACACAGTTGTTAGCAGATATCCATAGTTTAAAAGCGGCCGAGCACATACGATTCGGGATGAGCTTGGTGCAAGGGCCATCTTAGGCGCATTTGGGTCGCTCTTGGCAGTGTAAGCCAGCGTGCCTTCCTGATTGAGGCTAACCCCCGTAATTGCGTCCACGATCTGATTTATGCTTGTGAAACTGGGAGTCTGAGCTTCGAAAGTGATTCGGGACTCAGGAACAACTTGTAGATGCGCGATTTTGGGTATCAAAGGAGGCCAGTCAATATCATTGAAGCGATCATCAAGTAGATTGTCGGACCATATGTCTACAAGAAGCTCCATAGGAGGAATATTCGGTGGTGGGGGCACGCAGTCTGCTTAGAGGTCAGCTGGAGTCTCAGATATCTGCATAAAATCCATGTCTTTCAACTTACCGCTGGGGTAACGGGGCCTCATGCTTGCTTGATTCCGGTCGACCATTAACTGGCGCTGTGCTAAGTAGCCCCAAGAAGCTTTGTCCATCATGCTGATACTTAATTCGTTTATGAAGTAGGGGCGTGTATTCAAAGGAATAAATCAGGGGAGGAGGTCGAGAGGTGAAGAGAGGAGGGCCTGCGAGAATATCTTGGCGGTCGATATCTCCGCTTTTTAGCCGACGGCGCTAAGAACCCTAATTCATCGTAACATATACTATCGTGAATAGAAAGCCGAAAACCAATAATAAGCGTGCTCCGTTTACTGTCTGTGTGCAAACGATTATAAAGTATAGCCGCTTCGTATATTTAGATTCTTGAAAAACCAAGCTACAGTTATAAAGATCCTGTATAAACAAATGACTTTAAGAAGTAGTGATAAACATGAACGGAAGATGGTGTCCATCACGCTTTGCTCCTGGTATCTATGATGGCATGGAGACTAAGATATCGAAAAACTAGGAAAATCACACGGTACTTATAGGTTGATAGATCCAAGTCGCTCAAAGTGAAGCGATTGATGCCACCCACAATATATCAGCAGCACAAGAGCTAGCCTTTTTACATGACATCACCCGGGGATATCAAACGTCAGGACAAGATGCGCCACTGGCTGTGAGTGAGCATTCCAATCACCTGGCTTCTATGCCTTTAGACTATCAGGGAAACATATTGGATGATTGTGTGTATTTGCTCAGAGACAGCGCCTGGCCCTTGGACTGTAGCCTCGTGCTTATCACTCTGATTTCTCAGAGTCAAAGGCTAGTAGATAGGCCATTTAAAACAAGTTGAGTGTATCCACCACGCAAGAGATTCGCTCAGTGGAAGACGAGGAATCGGCGATGATGTAGCCAAAAAGGAAAGAATCGTCAAGTTCTCGTCACCTGTTGCCGTAAAAACTTCTGTTTTAAAGAGCTAAAAACACTGGAACATAAATGGAGACTATTGGTAAGAAATAAAACTCTCGTAGAGAGCCAACTATTTAAATAGCGCAGAGCCAATGGCCCGGGTCACTGCTGAGTAGAGCTTGCTGTGGATCGTCGACGAGGTTTCATTTCCTATCTTGGTCTCATCTCCCAGGAACATTCCACCCTCCAACCCCAACAAATACAGAAATTGTAGAACAAAATTAAGAGCATTTTAACCAGTTCAAAGCTCAGTCTGGATCTAATTTGTATCATCAATCTCCTCCATTGCCCACACCCCACGCCCAGCACACCACCGACATATCAACACGTCCTGCAGGACCAGCACCCCCATTCAATGCCGCATCCGTGGAATTATACGGCGGGGGCTGTAGAATAGGGAAGATTTGATGCTCTCGTGCTCCTCCTGCTCCGTCTCTGCGATAGAGTCATCGAACCTCTCCCTCACGTATTCAACAACCGCACCACGTGGGCCAACAGTCTCTGATCTCGGGACGTACTCCAAGCTTGGGATAAAAGCAGTCGGCTCCCATTCCATTGGGGTTGGACTGCTCGGATCTAGACCTCCCCACTCTGCCTCAGGTTGCGCCTCTCCCTTAGCATGCTTGCTCCATTGACTGTCAGTTCCTAGAATCAGTAGAGGGGGCTCCCACTTTTCCAGTGCGGGTCGAACAAACGGAACTCTCTTCATGATTGGGGCACGCAGATTCTCCCAGTTGTGACGGAAAGAAGGCTGATCAGTTTGGAAAGTGTGGGGAAGCTGTGGCCGAGCAATGGACGGGGTATTTGGGGTATCTGGGGTATCTGGTTCTTTGACAAGCAGCCGCTCTAAACCACTAAAGAACTGGCAGTAGAAAACCAGGTCCTCGCCCCGCAGAGCGCGTCTGGTTGCAACCGCCAGATTCTTGACTCTTGGAGGCTGCTCAAGTTCAACAATATTATCCTCGGAGAGCTCTGCGAAGTATTCAATGGTGCGGGTGTCGAGCTCAAGGTAGTCACGTTCAAAGTTGAAGTAAATTGGTCTTCGAACGTATGGGGCAAAGGCCTGTTCGTACATCTTCAACCCAGCAGCTCGGGAATCGGAGCAAGCTAGAAGAATAGAGGGATTGATGTAGCGGATGCGAAGGACAAAGGAGCCTGTTGGAGTTGTCAAGGATCTCTGAATTGCGTCTGGAGCCGTGAACTGAACCACTCGGCGATCGGGAATGGCGCGCTCCCAGATCATGTGCTGAATTTCTCGGGGGCTGAAGATGCGTGAATCAGCAATATATACAAAGAGACGAAGATGTATCAAGGACATACAAGCGCGAGAATTGAGGGAAAGTCGTCAATTGCTTGACAAAGTAAGGACAGGGGCTTGTAAAGAAGTCGATCCACTCGGGATCGAACTTCTGCGGTCGCTGCATGTCTGTGGTCAGTATTCAGAAAGAAGGGAGAAGGAGATCGAAAGGAGTATCTGCGTGATTGTCAGCAAGATCGTGGTCGACGCGCCTCGGGTTTGTTTACCTGTATCAAAGAGGACGGGATTCATGTAGTAAAGGCGACTATCACTATAATATCCCCTGTACTATAAAGTACAGAGATTTTGTGTCCCCAAACGGATATCGAGCTGGAAATTGCCGAATGGGATGTTGTGGTATCGATTGTTGATAAACACAGCTTTGAATCTAGGCAACACCCGATTACAAGCCGACTGATAAAGTAGACCAACCTAGGGAACTAAGTTGATCTAGCTATCAAAGGTGAATGTAAGCATATCAAAGGTGATTTGGCCTCGAATGTGTCTATAATTAAGGTGGATTCACAGATCACGTGCTGTTTGTGTTTGGCGGAGGAAGCTACGAGGATCGTGCCTTCCTCAAGTTGAATTTAGGCTGTCCCTTATAAGAAGCCTCAGGGCCATAGAAACTGAGCTTTCCACAGAAACCAAACAGAAATAGGGCATGAAACACCTTCATGCGGCAATTCCCTGGTCCCTGTATCTGCTTACCTATTTGTTTATATGTCGCCTAGCAATATAAGTAGAAAAACATCCTGCGGCGCTGGCTAAAAGAGGATTTCCACGTCAGATTTTTTCAAGGGGCTACAGAGATTAAATTTTACAGCGAGCGGAAATCTCAACAAGATATGGAGGGCAGCATGTTCTTATGATCTTCATTGTTCAATGTCCGCGTCAACGTTCAGGAACATTCAGAGACGTTCAGATTCAACGTACTACCCAGCCTAACCTCCCTCCCGCTTCCAAAAGCCCCAGAAATTCCAGATTCAGATGCCAGGCAAGTGTAGAACTCCGAAGCCTCGCAATAAACCGTTTTTCAAAGCCTATAAGACCAAACAACACAGCGACTGTCCCAGTTCGACATTGCACCTTCTCAAATTACGAAGACCGGAAACCGAGACCTCGGCGATCGAGAGGAGGAACAATAGAGGCCGGAGCTTTAGTAACCTGCAGATCTTGATCAGGAAACGGTACACCTTTTGGAGTCGTCTATGGACCTGAAACTCACCTCAACGCCCGCGCCAAGCCAGGCCTCAACACCAAGACCGCTGGTAAAGATAACCTCAGTATTGCTTATCCTCAATCGCTGCAACTCTAATTTCTCCTTCATGATATCGTTGTGAATCTTCGTGTCCGCCTTGACTAAAGCCTTCATCCGCTCAAGCTCACTCATCCCCGCCATCGCTGCCCGCAGTCTAGCTCTCTCCACTCTCGCCGCAACCAAGAGCTTAAACTCCTTAGCGGTAAACTCCTTGGTCAACTCGAGCTTTGCCTCGTCTAATTTGCATGCCCAAATACTTTGAATCCAATCACGGAGCTCATCGTCGTGGTCAGCAGTCTTCCATGGAAGGAGGCAGAGGCGGAGATTGTAGAAGCCGGCGACATCTTCAGAGGTGTGGATGTACAGGTCGTCGCCCGCCACAGCCAAGGTTCGGAGACGGGCGTGCATAAGACTGAGCTCCGCATCTGCCCCGGCGGTTCGACCGATCGTTCGTGGTTTGATGAAGGTGTTGAGGGTGCTTGCGCCATCGGGTCCATCAAAGAGGAGGGTATCGAGGAGGAAGTTGAAGGGAACGGGGTGGCCGATGCGGCTGGTGAAGGTATAATCGTAGATGCCTTCAGCTGCTTTGCGGGACTCTTTGTTGACCTGGAATATGGCGGGAACGGTGTAAGTGGCGCGGGTTCGACAGCTCCAGACAATGCCTCTCTTGCCCATAGCCCAAGTACTAGCATCTCTGATTGTCACAACGCGGCCTTTTGGTGCGCACAGTTGCCAGATCATGATGCGCAGTTTGAGGGGGAATTTGGGAAACAGGTGGAATCCTTTTTGTTGCTCTGGCTCGGGCTCGCCACTGAACTTGGCGTCGCGGTCCATTTCAGGAGCTGGACACAATTGTTTGAGGTGTGGGTGTTTTAGGAATGTCGAGGGGAAGGATCTTATCTGAAAGGCCGGTCTGCAATTTAAATTTATTAGCGTCGACGTAGGTCTTTCGTTTGAAATGGATATTTCAGGCTCTGAGTTCCAGCAACGATCACCTAGAGAATAGCTCCACTCCTCGATCTGCACAACCACACAGAACTAATGTCCTATAATGTCGCAGAAAGTTGCTCACAGAGGACCGATAAGGAGGATGGTAGGGATGATAATGAAACGACAAAAGAAAGAGGGTAGGTATACTTACTACAGCTCAATTCATAGAAATTGAATGATTTGAATCAGGAGTTGAAGAAGCTCCGCGAAGAAAGATCCCAATCTCGGGACCTGGATAGGGAAAAACTGGCGGAAAATCAACGAGAGGTGGAAGGATTGAAGAAGTCGGAGAAGTCTGGAAGTTGAGCCTTAGTGCCAGTCTCGATCTATAATTCTCTATCAAGGTCTGAGTTATTTGTTCGGCATTGAATGATTCTCGCGGGGCGTACCTAATAAACTTAGGCTGCCAAGAAAGAGAAGACAGCTGCGCTCCACGCCAAGAGATCGGGAAAGCAAAAGGCCACACAAAAAAAAAGAAAAAAAAGGGGGGGTCCAAGGCGGAGAAGGCTGAGGAGAATTAAGGCTGGTGATACTTCACCCGAGGTGATTGGATCAATAATAAATCTGTCGATCGTGCTGCGCCGAAGTTCAGGTGCGGACCAGCTCGCTTAAATTGTGGACCACCAATAAACAAACAAAAAACAACGCAAAAAGTGATGAGGGGAAAAGGAGGCAAAACAAAACAGCAAAACTCTCACAGCCAACTTACACTTTGAGCGGAAGTGCAAGCTGACTGCTTAGTACAAGGGCGGAACCATTGTTTACTATATGTTAGATCTCCTCTTTTCGGGAAGGGGTGTATGCTCTTAAACCCGGGGACGCCTTACTCCGGAGATCTAATGTAAACAGATGTGGGAAATGTAAATTATAAACCTGACTCTGGAATTTCCGGCCGAGAATATGCCGCTACGCTAACCAAGGACTACACATGGTACCCAGAGATGGGGAGTCGGCATCTATTGATATCGTTACGACGTCCAGCGAATCTAGGATATATTTACTGTTGTTACTAACATGAAGGGAGTCATGAGCTGGTAGGTGGTCCATCCTATGGTTATTTTTCATCGCTGCCCATGAATATAATTTTCAATTGTTTGCTTGAATGAAGAATTCCAATTGGTCAAGAGAAGAAGGTAGACAGGCACATTGTGATCTCAGCTGCATTAATTTCTACTAGCTGTCAAGCATCGCGAACTTTGCTTGATTGAAACCGCAGATTTGTCTGAAACTGTCCTCTCAATGGCTTCCTTATAAGTCAACAAGAACCCTGATCCCCTTATCGAAAAGTCTCCTGGATGTTCAAACTGCGCAGATGATGGTGTCCACTTTGCCCTTCAAACCCCTCCAATTTGTAACCTCCAATCATTTTCTTCTTCTCATAGGCCCCAAAAGGATATGCGGTGTCTCGAAATTGGTGGACGGATGGTCTTCAGCAGGCCCGCAGTGTTGTACTTCTAGAACAAGTTAGTAAACAATCCCATGGATCAGCAGAGGGATTCGAACATACCGAGCTTTCAATCAATCGATCCAATTCGCCCTTCTCCAAAGTAATAATCTCAGACTTGGAGAGCATCTCATTAGTGTCCTCTTCAAAGCACTCCCGGCATTTGAAGTGGTTGTACATTCCCTCAAAGTCGCAATACCCGGACGACATCGAGCGAAAAATCTCTGGATCAAAGGAAACGGACTCCAGCGACTCGAAGAGAGGGTACAGGGGGATGAATTCAACAGCACACCACTTCTCTCCAATGATCAGATGGCGCAGATTGTCGAAGACCTCTCCGTGGGTGCTCAACAACGCATCTTCGCGGCTGGTAGAGATTGTCACATCGGTCTTGAAGAACTCCCCGAGGGTTGCTGGGCTTGCGAACACGAGAACATCAACCTCCCAGTTGAAGAGGATAAAGCTAGCGGGAATTTGAGTCTCAAAGCAAAGCTCGTAGTGCCGCAAAGCCAATCGACGCGAATCGGAGCAAACCTGCAAGAGCACGGGGGGTTGTGCGTCAGCCTGGAGACCATGTTGCTCCACATCACCATATTTCTCAGTAATGTTGACGTAACGGCTCAGTCCAAGTCCAAACTTCCACTGCGCGGGAAGTTAGCAAGCATAAGTTCCACACGGGTGCTGAATGCGGAATGGGTTAAGGTGAATGGCATTGGAAGGGGAAGACGCCAAGGAAGTGATGTTATTTACTTACAACCATCATCTGGAGCTCAGGATACAGCTTTGGGAACAAGGTGAACTTATCGAGGAGGGGCGCCGAATTCTTGGTCACCTTTGCAGCCTTCAACTTTAAAGCCCATGGGTAGGCAGGTTGGATTCTGGGGCTCTTCATTGTGGCTTTGTTGTGAGGAAGTGCATTGAAAGGTCGGCGATTCGGACAAAGTTTATTGACTATCGAGCTGTTTTCGGTTAAGGAGTATCGAGATCAGACTTCTGCTGGGTTTATCGCGGGATAGGCTCTAAGATGATGAGCGAGGGGGTGGAAAAAGCTCGATGTTAGGATAGAGAGACGCGTCGGTGACTATGAAGATGCTGAGAGCTAGCGCGATTTTGTTAGCGCTTTCGGGGCACATAAGGCCCGAGTTTCTCTGCCCACTCTGGCAGGAACCCAGTACATGTCTATTTCTCATACCTATCAGCCTGTATATAATGGTATTTAATGTAATATCATGAATAATTGGACTTTGGTGCCGAAGGTGGTAAGTAGGACAAGGAGTTTACGTAGAGAATGACCCATGATTGTAAGTGACTATAAATATAGGAGCACTCTTCTGACTGTGATAATGCGCGCTGAATTGATATTTCTTGTTTCTATAGCTACAAATAATGATTACAGCACCTCTCAGATCTCCCTAGCCAGCAACTTGGTACGCCAACTTCAACAAGCATATTTTCTCTAATCCCAATTGAAGTATCAACAAGTAAGATGCAGTCACCTAAGACGGCCTGGCGTTTCTTCAATTTCTGCGAGATAAGGTCCCTTTCAGTTTCTCTGGCAGCGCAGCGACCAAGAATCAAGTGCCGTAAGCTCTGACGTACTACGTGCAGGTCTTCACGCACGTTCGGGGTGAGGGCTCCACCCAGCGAAGAGCAGAAGGCTTGCAGAATCTCGGGCGTCGAAATGTAAATAGCATCGCGGGTCCAGTTGATCCACACATACTTGCCGCCAAGTCGACTCTCCAGAGCCTTGGAATAGCCATGCATGTTTATTGCGGCATTTCGAGCCTCGGTGTTGACGTGAAACATAGCGGGAGCAGTCGAACACGACTTGAGCTTGTAGGTGTAGGGACGACTGGCTCGTCCAAAGCGGTCGTAGGTTGTGAGTCCGTCTATGATACGCTCGATATTGATTCTGATGATTCGAGGATCGTGCTGAACGCGCTGCCATATTGCCAGGCGAAGCTCGGCAGGTAGGCGAGGGAAAGGTGCAAAGGATGGTGGGCTGACTTGCCCTATGAAGTGTTGAAGATCGGCTTGAGTTGGGGTTCGAGACGACATTATGTGGTTCTTTGGATGCTTGCTGAAATTTGATGGTCTACATCATAAATGTTAGTCACCTAGGTAGGGAAAGAAGATGAGGGGCATGCGCAAGGTCCATGGTATACACTGTAGCGAGTGTGGCAACATACTTTGATGCAGGGGTATTCACAAGTCGAGAAAAAATGGAATAGACACTGTAAAGGCCCAGTATAGATAAGAAGATAGTTCGAGAGTAGGGAGACCATTTATATATAGAAACAGTTGAAATCCCCCTTGGAATTGAATGCCCCAGGCTTATTGATGCATCGGACTTGGATTCAATGCTGCTTTCCCCTTGGTGATTGCTGCACTTAAACGCCGAAAGTCCTTAATGAGACTGGAAACAAAGCTTCTTAACTTTCTTGTCTAAACATCACCAACTCTCTTTACCATCTGGATTAAACGCTGCTCCTCTGATAAGCCCTGCCTGTGACTCTTTACCAGGTGGATAGTTCCACCAAAGCGACTTCCATATTCTGTACCTTTTTCTGTAATAAGCAAAGATTAGGATAATGTAAATCATCGGACGCCTTAGAGCCTGTTTTGGCTCTCCGATGCAAGCCAAGATGCACCACGAAAATATTCTTGTATCTTGAATTTGCACCAAGATGCACAGCTTGACCTAATCCGTTTGGCTCGTAAATGCAAATTTCGTGAGATGTGCATCTGACCTTGCAACTTGAAGATGCACCATGCAAATAGCAGTTGCAGCAAATAGCTCTAACTCCCAAGTTGCAAGCTCAAGTTATCAGCTTTTTTTTGTTGGCAGAGCTCATATTATATCTAAGCCTTTAAAATACTTTGCACTGGTAATTTTCCACGTCCTCAAGATGGATCAGGTTGGAGAATAGTTGCAAAATTGATTTTTTTTTTTTTTACGACGACCTAATTCCGGAAGGGATACAAGAAAGGTTACACAAAACCCCGAAAAGCTTATTCCATTTTCGCCCAGAGTACACAATCCGAGAATAAAGAGATTCCGCGAAGAAAGGAAAGATCTAGTAGCCCGGGCCCCACTTTCAAGCCCATCCTCTGACCCAGTTCGTATTCGATAATCTAGCTTGCAGGAAAACACATCTGCCTAGAAGAGTCCGTCAAGATCCGCAAGCTCGACCGAGAAGTCTTGGTTTGACTTGATGGCTCTTGGCTAGACGGAAGAAAGGCGGAAGCCCCTTACCGCTGGTCTGCCCGAACGACGACAGTGATGGAATTAACTTGGCGAGCGACGATTGGAAGTGCGCTAGCCTGGTGGTTGAAAGCCATCGAAACAGGTGGAGGCAGCGGGACGTTCGGCTGAGCACCATTTCCCACCTCCGTCTCCTCGGCTAAGTCCTCCTCGGGAAAGATGTTACCCTATCTAGGAGTTAGCTTGACACATATTAAGAGATCAGAAGAGGGTTTTCAGGGTTGAGATGACTTACCTCCCACTCGTTGATGGCACGGACAAACGCACCGCGCGGGACGAACTTGAACGCGACACTTCGATCAGCAGGACGTCGGACGGTGTGGTCTTTCCAGCCCATGGTCAGCGCCCGAACGCCCTGGGTGAGCTGCAGGATGAGAGTGTCACCGGTCCCGCGGATGCCCTTGTCCCCGATTAGGACGCTCTCGAGGCCACGCATCTGGTTCAGGACCCCGCCGATCGCCTTCTCCATGTTCGTGACGCTACCGATCGCAATCTGGCGGACGACGGTATGGAAGTCGGTCATGCTCCAGCTGTATCCGCCGGTGATAAGGCTGAGATTGACAAGGTTGGGAACGACGCCGGCGTAGAAGTGCATGAGCGCTTCGGTGTCGGGGAAGTACATCAGGTCTTGCTTTGCGTTGAAGTAGATGGGGGTGCCGCCGAAGATGCTGGCAAAGCAAGGAACGGAATGGACCATCACTTCTTCGCGGGACTCTCTGCAGACGCTCAGCATGTAGGGGACTCGGTACTGGGCGCTAGGACGGTAGACCCAGTCTTGCGTGGTGGTGCGGCCACTGGCTTCCCGGCGAAAGTAGCCGTTGGCGCTGATCTTGATGACTTGGGGGTCGGGGAGGACGAGATCCCAAATCATACGTCGGAGCTCGAAAGGAAGCTTCGGAAATTTCTTGAGCTGGACGGGAGGAACGACCCAGTAGAGCTTTTCTTCGTCCTCTGCTGACTCGTCCTCTGCTGACTCGTCCTCTGCTGACTCGTCGTCTGCGTGGTCACCTCCATCGCCTATCTTCCCTCCTCCCCCTCCACGGTTGTTGACGCCTTTCTCATTTATCTTTCCACCCTTGTAGTACTCACCAATATTCTTGCATCCGGGTCCGCCAGACTCTTCAGCAGCGCCACCGCGGCAGAGTCCACTGATATCCCCCAACGTGGCGCCTCCAGTACGGTCTTTGTTGCGGTCCTTTCTTCGGTCACGCTTCTTGGCATTCTTGATAGCGTTCTTGTCTGTCCACTCTCTCTCGGGGGCTACCCAATTTGTCTCGGGGGCAGGCTGTCTCAGGTTGGTTGCATTGGCTTGAGCTGGCTTGGCCTTTGCTTGAGGGCGGGTTGTGGATTTGGGATTCATAGTGAGCTGCCTGAGATCAGTAGCTACTTACAAAGAATGGAGAGAGAAGAAGGACTATCATACCTTTTTTCCGAGGACTTTCGGGGCGGAGCTCTACGGATGGGTGGTTGGAGTGATTGTCACCTCGTAAAAATTGATGCTGTTGAAGTTGTCAAAAGTACATGTAAATGGAGAAGATGGCGATGGGACGAACAATTTGTACTCGAGCGAATGATAACGTGACTCAACTGCGGCCTGTGTGGACCGAGCTTGCTATTGTTCGCCGCCAGGTGAATATCCGCGAAGCTTCAAGCGGAGCAATTGTTTACTTTAGACGGTCACGTGTGGAGGCACTAGTGTAGGAGAGCACATCAGCCTCATTTGGTAGGTCCAGTGGTCGTGTATACTTGAAAGCCTAATAAATGACTCCAAGGACCAAAGTTACAGCTATATGGGCGAACCGTAATTCTTTACGTGCAGGATTCAAAACCGCGGACTCGGATTGCAATTGATCTACCTTGATGAAAACTTGTAAATATCTTCTCGGACTTCCTGTCCACTTTCAAAAGATTTTAAGAGATTTCAGATAATTAATTGATTGTGACTAAGTAAGTACTGGAAAGTCAGAGACGATGGATTTAAGAGAGCCGAAATTCTGTCCCTTAATGTGCGGCTTTATCCAGGCTACCCATAATAGATGTGTTGTGCACTGTGGCCTCACGTGCTCCCTTGTGCTCCTGCACGTTCCTGCCAAGCTCCCTAGCCTTTATGCGAGGTCACGTGCTCCTGATGTATATATACCGGTAGCAGTTGCTCCTTTGCTTAATCAGCGTCCGTCACGTCTCAGTAAAATTCCACTTTACGCAATCACATTTCTGAAGTAAAACCAAGAGCCCCCGGATGCTGTAGCCAGGCAGTATCTCATACGAATTTCGGCAATAAATATACCAAAAATCGGTATCTCCCGACCAGCTGACCAGCGCCAACAATTCTATGCGGATGAGGCGTTCACTTGGAGACGACCAGAGCGGCGGAGTGAGGCTTTATTTCTGGCATCGTCTTCTCGGACTGAGATGGTTGTTCTGATGCGACCAACGTGGAGGGCTTGTGAAGTTCGTTCTGTCTCTATTAGCTATCCGACCTGAGCCGCTCTTTTTGCGAACTGTACCAATTTTTGCCGCAGCTGTTCCCAGTTGAGACTTGAGACATCTGGGTATTCGTAGGTGGACTCGGCGTGCGGAGAGTCGGGTTGATCTCGATTGTGCTCCCAATCTCGCTTCATGCGCCGGATGGTGATGGAATCTTTTTGCAACGGACAGCCATATTCTCGAAGAAATACGATGTGTGAAGGGCTTCCCATATGTTCCAATTCTCGTGGCATCATGTATGGAACCAATGCATTAGAATGGTAACGGTAACAGTCTCTCTCGAAGCCAAGCAACGTAAGCTTTTTCTCTACTGGGGCAGAAAGCTTAAATGCGGGTGGTGTAGTCCAATTCATATGTATTGGTTGCACCATCTCAAAACCGAAGAACCGAGAAGCCGCGATTTCGGTTCTGAAAACGAGGACGTCGCGCGACCAGTCAAAATAAACGTATCTGCCAAGATTTTTCGGGAATGCTTTGTCGTAAACGGACTCTGCAGCTCGACGAGCTTCTTGATTTGTGTGGAGGATTGCTGGAATTTCGTAGCACACCGTGAAATCGTCGGGTTTGGCATCAGGAATCCTCAAGTGGTATTTATAATTAATGCGAACGATATTGGGCTCGGGGATACTCTCCTTCCACTGGATCACTCAATATTAACATGGCGTCTCATGATGGAGTGGAAGATTGGGAACAGGAGAGGCATGATGAAGTTCAGGCTGCCACGTACGATCAGAATTCGCAGCTCCAAAGGCAAATTCTTGAAGACGGTGAACTCCGGCTCCTCGCGCGCCGAGACGTCCTTGTTGGCACTTTTTGATCGTGATCTCCCCATGGTTCCTGTTTGTGGATGGGGTGGTGGTGCCCGGAGATGGCCTGGGAAGTCGAGGCCGATGCCTTTGTTGCTATCGACTGAAGGTATTTGAGGAGAAGGGATGGATGGATGGATGGATGGATGGAAGAAAGATGGAGGAGGATTGACGTACATGACGTGGACTTTTGTGGTTTAGCCCCAAAGTCTGCCGAGATTGGCGTCTTGGCTATGGAAGGCTTAGCTAGACTGCATGCTGGTTTAGACGAGCGGCTAGCGTTTACCTGTAATGACGTCTCTTCCTCACGAGTTCAAGATAATATCTACCGGCGCTTATAGCCGCAGAGTGACATTTAACTGGAAACGACAGCAAAAAATTCATCGGAAACTCCAGGCCAGGCAGGACTGGATCACAGTACCATTGTTGCACCCCACCCTTGCCCCCCTTGCTTCTGAATCAATTATTCTTTCTCAGCTGCAAGGTATCTCGAACCAAGTCCCTTTCCACTTGTTCTTATCAGACCTTTTTTTCCGCTTCCATTGTTGTTTCCTCGTGATGTTGTTGTGGTCGGGATCGCCTCGAGGGCTCTCATCACGTGCCTACCTCATTCGGCAGGTAGGCAAGCCCGGCGACAGCAACGCCGCTTTCCACCGTAAATAACTCTCTGAGAATCGAGACGTCCAATGTATGGCGCCAGTTGCATTTCGGTGATCTCATCCAGTAACAATCCTCTGCGAGGGCTCTAACGACTATCTTGAGTCGCGCACTGTTTCGCAACATCCGCCCCGACCCCCTGAAACGGACATAGCTCCAAGCCTCACCTTTTTCATCCCAACCAGTTCTTCCCACGGCTTTGCCTTCTCCATCCCGATCTTCTGATTCTTTGCGTATTTTTCTTATCGCGCCTGGTGTGCATTCGCTCAATTCTACAATCTCGTTCATTTTAATTATCATGTCGAAACATTATCGTGATGACTCGCTGGAGGAGGAGGTGGAACCGTTAAACGGGGAAGAGAGAAGGATTTGGAACTCAGAAAAGGTCTATTCTAGATTCAGGTCGGGCAGCTTGAAGTCTGGTTGGGTCTGGGTCGCTCACGCCGTTCTACTATCGATATCTCTGGGCTCTCTAGCTCTCTCACTCTACCTACGGAAATCGTGGCCGTCGAGTACAATACCCACCACATATTGTTCGTTGAGCCTCACTCCGCCTCTCTTTGTTGCAAAAATGCTAAGACCAGTGTCCAGTGCCGGCTCAAAGCGCGATCAAGTATGAGATCAAGCAATTCGACTTACCTCCAGTTCCCGAAGGTCCATTCATAGGAAAAGGACCGGAAGTCGACGCAAAATGGGACTACATCACCAACAGCAGTATTTCCTCTCCCTCTCCCAGGAAAAAGTCCTCTTCTTCCTCCAGTTCTCGATCATGCTAACCACGCACACCCCTCCAAGTCGGCGACACGATGGTCACCCGCGAAGAGATGATCAAGATGAACCTGGACCCGCACGGCGCCCTCGAGATCACCGACCCGGCCACGGGGAAGCGCGGCTTCCGCGTCGCCGTCGAGATGTTCCACCAGCTGCACTGCCTCGACCTCCTCCGGCAGGCAAACTACAAGGCCCACTACTCCCCGCTCGGCGGCGACACCGCCGCTCCCAAACACGACCTGTCGCGCCACACGGACCACTGCATCGACGCGCTGCGCCAATTCGTCATGTGCCAGGGCGATGTCAACATCTTCGCCTTCCGCTTCCCCTTCAACGATGGGGACCCCTGGCCCGACTACTCGACGCCGCGCGTGTGCAGGAACTACGAGAATATACGGAAGTGGGCTGTGGAGCATACCGTTGCGCAGGGCGAGGACGAGCCGGATCATTAATGGAGTTAGATAGATGTAGTTGCGATTATAACTTATGCATGAATAATCTTCCCAAACTCAAGGTCCAATTGGGTGACTGGTCTTTGTGAAATTTGTGTCCTCTTTGAAATATGCCTAAGCCCTCATCTCAGAAGAATTCAAGCATTCTTACCTCCCCACCCAAAGTACCATGCTATCAAGTGGATACACACTAATGTACCGGTAGGACTCACAACGACCACGCAATAGCAGGGCTCGTCATTTAACAGTCTCCAAGAAAATGTCACCGAGCAAGGAATCACAACGCAAGTATCACGGTTCGATTTCGGAAACCTGAGCGAGAACTGTGGAGGAAAGCTTTCATTCAACTTGTATGTAACAGAGTCACCAAGTGATGATATTCCAGTCCAGACGCAAGCACTCCTTTTGACCTCTCAAGTCTCACCCCATTCACCATTTGTAATTGTAATCCCAGACCTTGATACACTTGATACAGACCATGTGGAAATCCTTCGATGGCGATGGCAAAGCAAAGTTTTGACCTCTGGGCCCATCCGACGATAAAACACAGCTTTCTCTCTTGTGTACACCGAGTCTTATTTGAATCCCATAAACACTGGTATGAGCGAAGAAGACTTTCGAGTTCCGTGGAAGTGGATCAGGAGAGCGTGACCATTGGGCGGTCAACTCCATCCTTCTTGCCTCTCTCCCAGGTGGGAACGGTGGGGACATTCTATTGCTGTCAGCTGTCATGTCACGCGAAGGAAGAATGAGGAGGAGCTCACGAAGGTGGTGCACATCTCTGCCATGCTGCTGAGAGTGATCTCCGGAGCTTGGTATGGTTCCTCGGTGTCGGCGGAGAAGACGTAGTTGCCCAGGCGGCCAGTCTGAAGATATTGTACGGTCATATTATCATGTGAATGGACATCATATGCCTTACGCAGCAAGAGAAGCTTGTCGGGGTTACCCAAGGCTTGCACGAAGATAGATGGAGCCATCACGATGGAACGCCAGGCGCGGTTCATGAGACCTACGACCTTGATCTTCTTGTCGAGCGGCATCTTGGTGGCAGGGAGACTGGCGCGGGCACCATTCTCATCCTCGGGGGTGAAGAAGCATCTCAGAGCAACCCAGGTCTCGAACACCAGGATGTCGCACGAGTAGTTGAAGTAGACGGGCGCACCTCCCAAGTTCGCGGAGAAAGCCAGCTCGTTCTTCTTCAACATGCGTGTGCGGGACTCGTTGTTGACATGGAGAACGGCGGGGATCTTGTAGAAAGCCTTTGCACGACTTTTTCCGGCAGATACGACACTTTCATCCGAATTCTCCTTGCCTGAGTGGAAAATGCGGACCACTTTGGGAGCAGAATCTTCCATCGCAGCCAAGTCGAAGATCATCGCGCGGAGTCTGAATCACAGAGGGTAGTTAGCAAAGCTTTACCTCAGTGGTGCGCGTCAAGAGTTTTTTAGTCATCCCGGTCGCGACTTACTCAATTGGGAGCTTTGGGAACAGGGTGAAGCTTCTGTTGGCCCAGACATCTTCTCTTGGTGACTTGGTCTTGCGGGCTCCTCGGACCACTTTCTTCGGTGCCTTGGGCTTGGGGGCTGTCTTCTTCTTGGTTTTTGCCACGGCCGGTGCCTTGGGCTTGGGGGCTGTCTTCTTCTTGGGTCTTGCCATGGCTATGTACTGCGATAGCGAACTTTGGAGGCAGTTCGTTGCAAGGCGGCCACGATGCCTCAATTGCCAGAAGTTTGACCGAAGTTTGAGGTACAGCGAAAGGTGTGCGAGGGTGGAGTGCTTCAAGCTTGAGAGCAATCGTCGGTCGAGGTAAACGGAGCTAGGGAGTCGGCGGTAAACTTCGTAGTGCCGAATTTAAGCGCGGGCTCTTTCCTGTTGTTAGATTTCACTAGCGCTAGCGCTGCCTCACTCATCTTCCGGCACGCTCAATGAATTCGACCTACTATCCGGCTTGAAAGACTGGCTTGGAGAAGTTCCCTGAATTGTATCTGTCTGTAACGGTAAAGCTGTGCGAGCCACGACCGCAATCAAGTTACATCCCGCCTGCGACAGCGAAAACTGGATTCTTCCATACCCACAACCTACAGCCCAGGAGAAATTTCTCGGAAAATACCCACAACCCACACATTTCTCCTATCGTATTGGGCCATGAGCCTCTGGGGGAGAAGCGACTTAGTAAACCATTGTATTTAGACCAGAGAAGTGCGTACCTTTTGTCGATACCATGACTGACCAATTTTAGTCATTCCCATGATACACGCCCTCTCTCCTCCACACCAAGTGCGCCCACAACGAAAATCTCATGGCCAATTTCGGCATCTCTATCTCAAAGCTCCTTTCTAGCTCGTAATGAACGACGAGTTGGAAAGATAATTCCCTTTGCGGCTTTAGGCTTGCGAACGGCGAATTTGCGATGGTACTTCACACGTGGAAGAGTCTGACTATCGACAGCAGTGGGAGGTGGAGGGAAAGCAAGATCGTCCTATTCATATCAACGGATGAGTTACCCAACACAGGATTGTGACTTACGATCTTCTGCTGCAGCTGCTTCCAGTTCAAGGGCTCGATATGCAAAACCAGGGGACGAGGCAATCTGCCAAGGAACAGAGATCGCCGTCTTTCTCCCTCCACGAGTTTTCTCTTCTGCGCTTCAACCCATTCGACATGGCGCCGAGGGGCGGGACCTGACTTACGCAGGACGACTATGTGAAGTGGTTGTCCCAATAAGAAGCAAGGTATAAAGGATTTGCGTATATTGTAAAGTCCCAGTACCAGGATTTTCTCTTGCAAAGGTTGCTCGATAGCCCATCTTGGGATACCGTTGATGGATTGAAACTTCATCTTGATGAATTCTCTCATAGCGCTGGTACCGTCGATAACCAAAGCGTCGGATGGACACTTGAAGTACACAGGGTTTCCGCCGAGATTGTTTGCGAAGGCCAACTGGTGACACTGAATCGCGTATTCCCGAGACTCGAAATTAATTCGAAGCGCGACTGGCACGTCGTAGGAGGCCTCGACCTTAGGGTGCTCATCGCTACCAGAATTAAATATTGTCACGATCTTGGGGTCACAATAGGTGCATCGCCATATCATTCGACGTAGTTCTGGTGGAAGCTTCGGAAACAAGACGAAGGCATCCTTGGAATTGATATCGTAGACTTTGTATTTCTTGTCGACGGGCGGATAGACGGACGGAATGGGAACGGAGAACACGGCGTTGCTTGTAATGACCTTGCGCGACGGATTTCTTCTGGCGGTGGTTGGCTCCCGAGCGGAAGAATCCATTTTCTCGAGTCAAGGGCTTGAGAATGGAAAATGGAGTGTATCGACGTATTGTCACGTATCGTGACTTCGATTGTAATATGAGACCGAAGAGATGTGAATGGAGATGGAATTTCGGTGGAGATGGAGATGGAGATGGAGATGTCGAGGGAACGAGAGAGAACAAATGAGGAAAGGACGTCGATAAATAGTGGGGCGTGTGTGGCCGCTAAAGACGTTAGCGTTCCTTGGCGTGTTCCTTGGGCCCTTTATCTTTATAGTGTAAACCTGAACTTCAGTTGACAAGAGGTCGGAAGGATTCATAGGACTTGATTGTAGCTTTTGGTGAATGCTTGCTATTTTATGATTTTCCCCAAATCTTCCTCCTGCCTAGCCAGTACGCAGCCACCTAGTAGCTGGGTCTGAGGCCAATTCTGCAACAAATTTATCCGCAAACGATAGCATTCAAATTTCAATGTATGTATTATCAGCAGCCATCATTCTGTCCATATTCTACTTCTATAACGCCAGCATCCTAATAGTCTGAGCCCTCGGCACGCTCGCACTCCTCATCACCAAGGGTGCCGTGGCTACCGCAGGATCGACGGGCCTGGAAACGGAGGCTTGCTTTATGGATCATGCGATCAGGAGATACTGTGGTACTCTGTGCATACGGGCTGCTGTATTATGCAATGGGTGAGGTTTTCCTTGAAGTTACAGTACGTAAGAAGGCTCCGGATACTGCCACTTCTCTGACACCAAATCGACTTGGGCGCTGAGAATGAGGCTCTATATGTAGAGTTAATTCTCGGGAGTTGGAAATGAGTTGGAAATGATATCAAATAAGGAATTCTTGAAGGCACATTCGAGTCTGATTTTACCGTGAAGGCTTGAGTACTGACCGCACTACGTATCCAAATTCAACATACGAGCATTAGAGAAAAGTGCAAAATTATGTAAAAAAGGTGCAAAAATCAACTGGAAGCATACAAAACGAGTTTTTATAAGATTCCGGTTTACAAACCATATCGAATAGGTTTTTCTTGACACCACCGGCGGACAGGGGACGGGGACATTGAAGGTTCGTGGAAGCAAGCCACTGATCTAGGGGATCCGCCGGTTGATCGGAGCCGAGAATGAATATTTACTTATACATAGCAAGTGTAACTTTTCCCGGGCACTAGGAGGGAAGCCATCCTCCTTTCGGGTTCCAAGGCTGAGTTACGGGTCACTTTGTTTACTCTGCTCATTGTTTACTTGTATTCATGTCAGGCTCTCACCGCTATGGAAATAATCACCGCTGTTGAAATAACCTTCTCAAGATGCCTGGCGTGAACACAAGTCCAGTAACTCTAAAATACAATTGGCTTTTGCCCGCTGACACCCAACTATGGCAAGGTCTGGTTCGCATTGATACAGTTTCTGGGCGCTCGAAAGAATATCCTACAGCCTCGCGGTATTAAAATAAACATCTCAGCTCCCCTTCATCGCCCAGAGGCATCCATAGTAGACGTAGAAGTCTGATCGCTCTCCCATCCTCCCTTCTCTTCCGCCGCCGTCTTCCCCGTCTCCTCCGGCTCCGTCTGAACCTCAACATCGACATAATTCTGAAACCTCTTCCTAGCTCTTCTCTTCCTAGCTCTCCTCTCCCTCATTTTTTTCCTCCAGCCCGTCCATCATCCTTATGACCTTTCTCATCACGTCTCCGTAGGCCCAAAAGAACACCCGAATAGCACGCCTCTTCAGATCCGGCAAGACGAACATCCCCACCAGCGCGAGTGGCACCATGTAGATCAGGTTTCCAAGCACCAGCAGCATGCCCCGTTGAGCGAGCCAAGAGCACGCGTAAACCGACGCAGAGACGCAGGCCAGCCGGAGAGCGGCAAGGAGCCACCCAAACGTCTTGACGAGGAACCAACATATTTCGAAAAAAAAGATGAAGAAGGCCCAAAAAGTGGAGAAGGCCGATAGCCTGAGACTACGGAAAGTGAATTCGATGATTTGGATGGCGAATAGGGGGATGCCGTCTAGCAAGAGCCCTTCGAGGAAGATGAATGGGTAGCTGACGATGGCAGCGAGATTGTTGGAGAGGAGGCCGCTGGCTGTAAGGTCGATCTCGAGAGGGAGTGCCATGGTTGATGATTTTGTTTCACGCCGTAAAGATGCTGGAAGTGGGAGGTTTTTCCATGTATTTTTATGGCGGCGAGATGGGCAAGACGAGCGAGTTGGTATTGGGCTGCGGGGGCAGGAGCCTCCCACCGCTATTGTAAATATCACAGCTCTCTATTTATCTTAAACAACAGAGCTTCTGGAACGCAAAATCTAAGACTTGGTAGAAATTCAAGAGCCGATCAGTTACCTGGAATAACAAATACCTCAAAAGTCCCGATATGCGTTTAACCATTTTTCTTGTGTCGATGTACCTCTTTCTTATTCCTCCACCACCAAAAGATGCACCGCTACCTATTGTAGAATGTGCCCTGGGGCGGGGATAGCTTTACAGATGATCGTGTATCGCTGACCTCTTCGATTCGTTTGTTGACGTGGACAATAAACTATTAAAGGGGGCAAATGGTGGGCTACGGGAAGGTGCCCTCCTACCGAAAATCGTTTAGAATTACCGCTATTCGTTTGTTTTGAATAATCACACTTCTGACACTTGTAGCCTGGCAAATTGACTCGATCGCGTGCCGGGATTTTGTTTACGCGCTAAAGCTCAATATCAACACCAAAGTTCAGCCGCAGCCGCGATCTCCAACTTTCTGGCCAGGACTTCAATAGAAAGACGGACTGAACTGCTCACCAACACCTCTCGGCATCAACCAGCTCATCTTTCACCAGCCTCCAACTAGTAAGATGGAAAAAATGGACGAAATGGACGATATGGACCAAATCGGCGAAATCGACAAAACCGACAACGTCTTCGACATCCCCGCCCCAAACAAACTCACCGCCCTGGTCCAGAAGCTCAGAGACATGCTCCCTCCAATAATCGCACGTGATCCTGGCTTGCACTACGTCCGCATCGCCATCTTCATCCTCGGCATCATCTTCATCATCCTCCTCGCGGCCACGACAAAGTCCTTCATCAAGATGGCCTACGACGCCTTCATCAAAGCCTCGCCCATCCTGCTCTGGCTCGCCTTCGCCCTCGTCGTGCTTCTCGTCACGCGCCATCTCCACTACTGGCTCATCCGCCAAGAAGAGTTTGTCCGAAGAGCTGCTGCTCTGGCGTCCAGGACTAACCATATCGATACCTACAACTACATGTTCGAGATGACCGCTGCGGAGGAGGAGGATCTTCACGCGTCCTATTCTTGGAGATCTATGGGTGCGGAAGAGATCGAGTTTGAGGAGCGGTTGAGGAAGCGGGCGGAGGAATGGAATGCTCGGCGGGAGATCTTGGTTGGGGAGGTGGAGATGTTGGAGAAGGATATCTGGCAGGGCGGACCGGAGCTGAAGGAGAGGCGTCGTGCTGCTTTCGTGGATTCCTTACCTTACATGGAAGACGAGCATCCCGACGCGGGGCTCCTGTGATGGAGAATAGTATGGATCAGGATGGCATTTGCTTCTGAGAGCCTGTTTGTTTGTTTGTTTGTTTGTTTGGGAGGCTGCTGCAGGACAAGACAGGAGGCATCACCAGAAGCTTCTTTCTTCAGGCAGATAGATATGCTCAGCCCTCTTCCCTGGCATTCTCAACACAATTCCAAGACTCTTTACCAACAGATCGAATCGCCTCTATACCTATAAGAAATCTGCGCTTCTGCTCCACATCTCTCTCCCGATGTATCCTTCCTCTACATACACGTACGTCAAGCCATGCAAATCAGCCTGAGGATCTCGAACGAAGTTCTCAATCTGGATGTTCTGGCCACTCAATTATTGCTGGTGTGCTGCATCGCCTACATCACGAAGACGGTCTTTGCCCCAGCGCGCACCCCCCTGGTCCAGCGTACCTGCCTGATTGCCTTGCTCGGCTTAGCCATCTACGATGTCCCTGCTGTGGCAGGCATGCTCAATGTAGCCCCGGAGCTCGTCTGGCTGTCTCTTGCCGCGGCTTCTGTGCTGGGGATAAAGCTTAGTCTTGAGTTCAGCTGAGGGTAAGTCTCCTTTACTCTATTTACGGGCTCTGTTTGCTAAGCGTTTGGTCAGGGTCTGGATGATAATCTCTTGGTGATGGGGATAGAGGGCTCTTGAGATGTTGAGGGCTACAACGAGCCTTTCCTGGTGGTGGTGGTGGTGGTGGTTGGATGCCTGTGGCATCATTCTCGGATGCATTTTGGAGCTTCTTGGTGTGGCATCTTGACTCTGTCTAGGTTTTGGGATCTTGAATCTCAGGAGATTGGGTATCATGAGATATTAGGTGTCTCTTTCGGCTTGATACAATGAAAAAATTTACGGCATATCTTGAGAGGAAGCGTTACAGAACATGCGATGGGAAATATATCACTTGCTGTAATGTATATACCGCCAAGCTGGAATCCATAGATATAAAGACAAAGCTTGACCAGTTCTATTCAGGGAATGACTCTTGTGACTTATGATGGTCTGCAGAAAGGTATTATGGTTGCGAATCTTGCACCGACACCGGTTCTTGCTGGAAGAGTTCGAAGACGGATTCGAAGGCATCGGGGCAGTCACGCCGAGGGGACTAGGTCGAGAAAATTCGAGTGTGGATCGATGAGAGCAGAGTAACCTATCTGTTGCTCTGGAGTTCGATGTGGTGGGGGAATAATCTGACTTTGCGGCGAGAACAAAGCTGTCCAAATTACTCGGCCCTGATGGTGGCGGATCTCTGGTGCGGCAGGGCTATCGAAGAGAAGAGCGTCTCCGGCGGGTCGAAAGGGATGATCCTCTCAATTAGTGATGAGAAGATCATTTGCTAGACGAAGCCCGGGGAAATACTGCGAGGTTCTTGCAAAGTACTCAGGGTGTTCAGGACGGTGAAAGTGGTAGTGAGCCCCGGGCGTACGATATGCTAACGCCAGGGTTGATGGCAGCCCTTTTCCTCATAGTGAATACCTTTCCATCGGGGACAGCAAGCTGTCACTGTGCTATCATTTGCTACAGTACATATTATGCGGAAGATTGAAGTCGCGCAGAAATGGACCGCAATCCGAAGTGAAAAGAAGGAGGGAGGATCCGGCAATCCTGGGAAGCGCTTAAAAAGAGGAGCATCGAGGGTAAAGGGTGTAGCAACGTCTATATAGTCTCGCAAAGACGCGATTGTAGATCAATGGTGTCTTTAAGAGTCTTTAAATTACTCGAAAGTCAAGTCATCTGGTAACGGCGAGCTTTCCGCAGCAAGGATTTTCGATCTACGGACTCGTAGCCCGGATGGATACCCTTTCTCCTTGAGGCTTGTAAGCTTTGACAGCTGCTGCTCCTACTCTCCATTCAAGCTTGTTATGATAAATTTTGGTGTCAAGAGATGCTGAACCCCTTTTCATGCACTCGGTTATTGTAGCGTTTCGGTTGGTTAATAACCGAGGGTGCTAATAACCGAGCCGCCCTTGAACTAACTTTTCAAACACAATCCAAACCAGAAAAAACAGATGGAAATTTACTAAAACCAAGTCTGCTTAGTATATCATTTTAATATTAACTCCTGGGAAAGCTCTCTTTTGCTAAAGCTGCTGAATAGGGAATACGGAATTTCTTTTCCCGGTTGTTTTCAATGTCGCTACATTTAAGCCGCGATATTAAGTTGTGAACGGCGCTGCGGGCTCAACATTATTCAGGAACCTTAACATGAATTCAGCTATTAATCTGGCATTACATCTGAGCCTATGATTAAAAGTCGTAGATAGAGAACAAATTTTAGGCACCATAAATGAAATCCTAGTTCAAGCGATATAGACTAGCCAAAAATTCGCTAACAAATGAACACCAACTGAACTGGATTGATAAATAATAAACATCTCAAGGAACACGTATCATTCAATGATTTTAATAGAATATTTTCCTTCAAGCTTCACTCGCCTAGGACAGCATTAACAGCATCAGCACGCGGAATCATAAACCCGAGTAACCGTGATAACATTTCCCATCTTCCTTCCTCTCTTCAAAAGTATATCTTCTTTCTCTTACCCAGACGTCCCTAGAATGATAATAATCATCCTAAAAATCAGGTCCCCGCTACGGCTGCAGCGACATGACATAAATATGGAAACGAATACGGAGATAAAGGAAAGGAAGACCAGCACCATTCACGAGCGGAGCGGGAAAGAAAACTGGGTATACTCTATCCGGCGTAATCTGCGTATGTTTCGAAGCTAATTCTGTGCCCCAGCTCTTCACTTCCGAAAATCCTTTGCGCGATTTGGTTTAGTTACCGAATTGTGGAGTTCAACCTACTCCGTAGTCGTTCGTTACGCAGATTCGTCTCCGAAATCCGTCTAGTAGGTCCGTAAGTGCCGTCTAGTAAGTGAATGACGTTTTGGTGACGCACGTGATATAACATGACGCAAGTGCAAACTAATGAGCGGGCCGGGGCATCTCTTTCCTCCTTCTTCCTCCCTCCTTCCTCCTTCCTCCTTCCTCCCACCAACATTTCTCGCCAAAAATCCCAACCCACGACGACTGTCGTCATCATCATTCATATATCTCCTTCTTTCCCTTATCCTTGTTCCTTCTCTCCCAACGTCATATTATCAGACAGACAGACAGAACCACCAAATCAAATCCAGCAATGGCAGGCGCAGACGCAGACGTTGAGTCTCTCTATTCCTACGACACTAAGGTAAGTCTGCACGCATAAAAAGAAGAGAGAAGAGAGAGAGAGAGAGAGAGAGAGAGAGAGAGAGAGATTATATTCACTTAAAACTTACACTCTCTTCCTTAGGAAACCGAGGAGTACGGCAAATGTACCGAGTCCACGCTATTGATTCAGTACAGAGGTCCTCCCCCCCGACCACAATCCCGATGGCGGGGCCAACTTTGGGCATGGAAGGAGCAGCTGTTGCGACCCGGCTCAGTCGACGTGGCCTGCTCGAAGTCGAAGCAGGAGTAAGTAGGCGGCTCTTTCTTGATTCAATCATGTTTATTCTCCTCCTCCTTCCTTCCTGCTTTTATCCCCCCCACCTCCCCCTCCTTCCTTCCTGCTGTGCCAAAGTCCCGATGACGGGAACTATAAGAACTTGCTTGCTTGCATTTTCTTTTCTTTTCCTTTCTCTTCCTTTTTCTTTCAGCGCAGTTCATCCCAATACATCTACGCCCATACCCATACCCATACCCATACCCATACCCATACCCATACCCATACCCATACCCATACCCATACCCATACCCATACCCATACCCATACCCTCATCCACACACACACACACACCCTCAATACCGACACCGACACTAAAATGCATCTCCACATCTCGGACCAGTGCCTCTCGGAGTCGGGCTGGATCATGACGGTTGCATCGCTGATTTTATCAGCGATGTTTGGGCCACCATGGCTCTGGATGGCCAGAGGGCTGGGCAGATGGTTGGGCAGATGGCTGCTCAAGTGCAGCAGGGCATTGTTCGGGTTACTATTGATGATTCTTCTGATATTTCTCGCTTGTTAACTAACTGTACCTGTAGCTGGCCGAAGGAGACGCAGGGGGGGAGGGAGAGGGAGGTGGAGAGGGTGAGTTGGGCGGAGGAGAGGTGCGAGTGGCAGGTCGAGAGGGTGAGGTGGGAGGGGGAGAGGAAGGTGATGGAGGCGATGAGGGAGGGGTTTGAGACGGAGAGAGCAGGGTGGGAGAGGGAGAGAGCATTGTGGAAGAGAGAAAGGGCATTACTGGGGATGGGGGGGCCGATCGTATCCCTCCGATCCCATCTGGAGTAAAGCTTTTTTATTTTTTTGGTTACTTCAAGCCCAAATGACAACTACCATGCCGCTCCAAAAATCTAAAACAGCAACCTTCCGAATGGCATTCCCATTCCCCCGTGTTTGAATCTTGTTTTATCTCTCGATCATCCTTCTTTCAATACTCTAATGCATCAGCGACTCAGTCTCTCCTACAGCCTTGAGCTGTCCCATGTTCATTATGACTTCTTCTTCTTACTCATTCGAATCTTTCTTTTGCATTTCGACTTTTACAAGCCAGAATTCAAATGCTTATAATTTATCTGCTTGCTCCAATTAATCTTTGTAGTGCTTACTAGCACTAAGATCAGGAAGAGATTCTGTGGATTGAATGAAGCTTAGTATATTCTATTTAAAAAGCTCGTCAAGATCTATGTACATGTACTTAAGAGCTTTAGTATGCTAAGGGCGCTATTAAGCGAGGTTATATAACATGTCATATATAGCTTAAGTGGAACTATGCTTGTTCCGTATAATACACTTTTTAAGTTAGTAGCGTAGCTATTAAGCTGCAAGCAAATAAAAAAGAAAAAAAATAAGTGATTAAGCTCTTTAAACTCGATATAAACAAAAGAGATTGTTATCGCAGTCTAAACAAACAAATAGCGGTTGTTATTATTAATTGAGTATTAATTAAGAATGCAATTCCTTTTTAAGTCGGTCTTATTACGTAACGGAGGTCTTTAGCGCCGTCTTTATCGCGTTGCTATATAAGTAAGAGCGCGTTCTTTTTTATTATAACAAACACTCAACCTTTATCTATTTATATAATACCTTTTAAGCAAGTAACTTAGTCTAGTAAAATCGTTAAGCGCGGCCGAAGCCGTTTAAAAGTAAATGCTTTTAATAAATTAATATATCTATGCTAACTATTAAAAGAATCCTTTCTTTGCTTTAATTATTATTGCTATTACAATTGCGGCGGTTGCGGCAATTATATTACGCATTCTTACTTTCGAAGTTTCGCTTTTTCTTTTAAATCTTTTTATTAAGCGCTTACTTATATTAACGATCGTTAAAGCTTTAAAGTGTATTAAGTGTATTAATAATAAGATTATATCGAAGTCTAATAAAAACTGTTATAATTGCGATACGAGCGTTATTCGTTATCTTCGGTGTGTTAAAAGTAGCTATAGCAATTGCACCGCTGCTTTTGTTATTGCTAACACCGCTTTCGATAACTTCGTAAGCGTTAAAGATAATAATGCTATATAAAAAGTTCGCTAAAGTCTTCGAGATGCTATACGATAATAGCTCGCTTTAAATACTGCTCTTTTAAGAAATGCTATTAATAGTCCGAGCGGTCTAGCGAATAAAAGTAAAAGTTTTAAAAGTAGTTTCGATAGTTTTATAAGTTTTACTTTTGCTTTTAAAACTTTTAATTTAAATATAGCTTTTATTAAATTGAATAATCTTATAATAGCGAATCGTAATCCGATAACGCAAAGCGCTTCGAGCATATTACCTTCTCGTAAGTCAAGCTTTTTAACTTACGAAATGATCTAATTTAAATAGCTTTTTTTAATTAAAACTTCTTTTCGGACTTTATATAAAAGCTTTAATCTGCTATTATAACAGCTTTTGCGCTTGCGCTAATCGCTTTTGTTGCTTTCGTCGCTTTTATTGCTCTCGTCGCTTTCGCAGTTATCGTCGCTTTCGTCGCATTTATTATCGTCGTTCTTTTTGCGTTAATCGTTGCGCTTACCGCTCTTGCAGCGGCGCTCGCTGTTATTATAACTCTTATAAAGCGCCGAGCTAAAGTAAAAAGATTATTAAAAGCTTTAGTCGATCTTTTATTATAAAAAACGAAAAGTAAAAGCGTGTAAAATAAAATAAAATAACAGTTAAGATTATTAAATAAATGTTTTCTTTTAAATCACGTGCAAATAAAAAAAATGAAATGTAATAAGTGAATAGTATATACGTATTATTAAAGCTTTTCGACTAACGCGCGAGCGTCTTGTAAATTTAAAAGCTTAATAAAGCTTTTAAACTTTTATCGAGTTAAGTTCTTTATAAGACTATTAGCGTATATCTTTTTAATAAAGAGATATTAAACTTAAAAGCTTTTTTTAAAGTGCTTTTAGCGCAGCTATATATTATAAATATCGACGTAACGAAGCTTAATAAAAATACGCTTTTTTTTATTAATTATAAGCTTAATTGTTTATTAATTATTATAATAGATTATTTAAAGCGTTGCAAAACGAAAGTGCAGCTTTTTAAAAAACCGTTAAAGCGCTATAATCTTTTTTATTATAAAAGTTATATTAAGAAGCTCCGCTTTAATAAATGATATAATGATTATATTTTGTTTTAAAGCTTTTTAAAAGATCGTACTTTCGAATAAAAACATAATGTACTTTTAAAAAGATCGCTTTATCTTTTCGTTATCAGCGTAAAAAGCGTCAAAAGCTATTACTAGCTTTGATTTATTAAATTAGTTATATTAAATACTTTTAAAACGCGAGTTAAATAGATATCGCAAACATTAATTTACAACTCGGAAATGCTCCGCGCTTAAATTGATATTAAATTGAAAAAGTTAAAAAGCTGCAAAAGCTATATTTAAGCGTAGCATAATCGCTATATATAACACGGATTTAACTTTTTTTTAATATTCTTTTACTTGCTTCCGCGAAGCTATCTTTTTATTCTTAATTAAATTATAAAACGGTAATAAAGTTGCTAAGCAGCGTCCGTCCGTGAGTTCGAATTTTTTAATTATTTTTTTAATATAAGCGTCGTATATAAGCGTTAGCGTTCTTCGCTAACGGTCTCGAACGATTCTTATATTAAAAAACTATTTAATATCTTTTATCGCTTCGATCTTATACGCTTTGTTAAGACTATTAATAATCTTTTACGCTTTAAAAAGATTAAAATAATAATATATAAATTAAATATCGTCTACGTAAAACGCTATAAAAACCGTTTTATTTAGATTCGTAAAAATACACGGTTCTTTACCGAGTAATATAAGCTTTAATTTATCGAGTGTGCTTATAAAGTCGAAATATTATAAAGCTAGCGAGTCTTTAAGTTTATATAAAGCTTTATCGACCTTTACGAGCATACTTTTTTATTTAAAACCGTTAAAGAAATAACACGTAATTAAAACGCTATTCGTATATCTTATAGCGTTAATAAAAGCGTTAACGATATTAAACTGTTTTACTTTTAAGTCAAATTCGGCTGCTATAGCTATTATAATTTTAAAAGATCTAGCTGCTAGCGTAACCGCGTAAGTTAAATAGATAATAAATTCGTCTTAAAAGTTACTTTTAATAACAATTTTTAATCTAAACTTTACGATCTTTTCGAACGAGCTAATCTTATATATAAATACTTACTTAAGAAATATAAGTTTTGATTTAGCTTCGCTTTCGAGAATCACTTTTTAATAGTTCTTTTTTTCTAGATTATTCAGCTTTATAAAAGCTCCGTCCTTGAACTTTTTGCCGTATAAGTATCGTTATAGCTTTTTTTAATAAATAAAAAGTTTTAAATATTTTCGTTCTTACGAGTTAAGCTGTTTTAATAATAATTTAAACGAAGCAACAGCTGCTATAATAACGTATAATGTTTCGTAATCTTTATTATCTTCGCGCATAAGTTCGTTATTAACTTAAAAAGTCGATATAAAATCTAAAACGCGCGAATAGCGGTTCGAATCGGCGCGAAAGTTGTTTAAAAGAAGCTTACTAACACTTGCGTATATCTTCGCGCGTTTTTTAATGCGATTACTAATAAGTGAATACTTTTTATTAAAGTCGGAATTTTATTTAAAGTATTTATAATTTAATTTCTTATTATTAATGCTCGCTTCAAAAAGGTTTAAAAGCTCTTCTTTAATTATTCGGTTTAAATCTCCGCCGGTTGTTAACGTAAAAGCTTTCGTTAATTAGCTTATAGCTTAGCTTTTTAAGCTTCGGCTTTAAATAACAATTTAAAAGTATAATATGCGCGCTTTTTTATTAAAGCTAGGTTTTTGCTCGTTTACGATGCTTTTCTTTACTTCTAGCAGTCTTAAAGCACTTTCGCCTTTGCTCTTAGCTAAAAAGCTAGCGAAACGTTTAACAGTATAATTCGAATCGTTAAGATTTATTAAATCGTTTCGTAAAGCAATTGCTTTTAATATAAACGTATTTATAAAGTCTTTAATTAAAGTTAAAGCTCTTAACGTTTATATATCGCTCGGATTAAATAAAGTCGTATTTTTTAAGCTTTAACTAAATCCTTTTAAGTCAACTTTTATAAAGTTTAACGGCTAGTCATTTTTTACATTAGCTGCATTCGTTTCTTTTAAGCGATCTTTTGCAACGTTCTTTATATTAAACAAAACGTCTTTTGTTTAATTAAAGTTTTTAATATCTTTTAGTTTAATAACGATGCTCTTAATCTCGTTAATCGATTAACCGATTGATTTTTTTTCGTTTTTAAAATAAAATTAAGTTTTATCGAACGTTACGTTACGTATAATAATCACTTTATAAAGCATAAGAATATAAACTTTATATATATTAAAAGCTATATATCTAATTAAATAGCTTATATGTCTTTTTAATTTGACTTTAAAAGCTCTTTTATTACGAAAAGCTTTTCGGTCTTTAATTATTAAGTACGCACGAGCGCTATACGCAACTAAACCGTTATAATCTAGTCTTAAGTCAGTATCGATCCGTATAAGAATCGCTAGATCGTATTATTTAAAATATTATTTAAATTAAAGCTATAACACTTTATTCGGACTTTTTATAAAGCTTTTCGCTTTTAATATTATATTATAAAAGTAAATAGCGGCTAGTATAATTTTAAGCTAAAGCTTTTTTAAAAGCTTTGCTTTTACTTTCATTTTAATAAACCGTTTTAT